GAGCAAGCATGAACAGGGCGAGGGACAGAGGGACAGGGAGAAGCAGGCCCCCTGCTGAGCAGCGATTCCCAGGCCCCTCTCTAGGGATAAATTATTAACATTCTTCCCTCCCTCTGCCTCATCTTCTACACCTCAGCTTTACAAATACACTCGATACCTTTAAACTGAGGGTTACCAGAGGGGAGGCAGGCAGGGGAATGGGGTAAATAGGGGATGGGATTGAGGCGGGCACTCGTGATGAGCTCTGGGTGATGTGTGGAAGTATTGGGTCACAGTGGTACACCTGGAACTCATATAACACTGTATGTTAACTGGAAGTAAGAACTTAGGAGGCGCCTGGATGGCTCAGTTGGTTAAGCATCCGAGTCCTGAGTTCGGCTCAGGTCATGATCTCAGAGTCATGAGATCGAGCCCCGCATCAGGTGCCACACTAAATGTGGAGGTTGCCTACGCTTCCCTATCCCCCTCTTCCCAACCTCCGCCACCTCCACCCCACCACACTCACTCTCTCTGAAAAAAAAAAAAAAAGAAAAATGAAACAAAGTTCAAAAACAAATATACTTGATATCCTCAAATAGCAGGAAAGCAAATAGCAGAAAGAAATATATTTTACCATTTCAATCCACCATGAACTTAAGCTTCTCGAGCAGGGATTGGCAAACTATGGTGCTCAGGCCAAATCCAGCCAGCCACCTATTTTTGGAAATAAAGTTTTATTGGAACACCGCCATGTCCATTCACTGATGGGTTGTTAATGGCTGCCTTTGCATACAGGGCAAGGCTGAGTGGCTGACAGAATCCTTACCGTCACAAAGCCTGAGATATTTATCACCAGGAAATGAATAGAATTCTAGCATTCTTTAACAGGGCAAGGTTTGCAGTTGATTGGCTAATATCTTCCAAATCATTTTTAGTATTTTTTTCCTACAACCTGTAAGTAGCATTCTCTACAGTTCCCTCCCCAAATATTTGCTGAAGGTTGTCTCCCTGGCAGAAGACTTTGTGTGTTCCTGAATTCTAATATAAAGCAAGGAAGTCTGGTATGAGAGAAAGGATGGCACATCAGGAGTTCATGGTCTAGTCACTGCTGTTCTGGCTACAGAACCTTGAGTGTGACACTTAACGTCACTGGACCTCTGCTTCCTCTTTAAAATGGAGGAGCTGAAGAAGCAAATTACCTTTAAAAAAGTGGAGGAGCTGAACCATATTTGATGAAGTAAATCAGCCTTGAAACACACCCAAAAGAAATATGGTCAAAATAGATTTCTTAATTTTGAGGGAAAGTTTTAACTATGCAGGAAGGACCAAAGATAAATGATACCTGGTTCCTAAAGAAACAAGCTAAGAAAGTATTCCCAGTCTGTTTATTTTTAGGTCACTCTGAAATTTTTTTTGAAATATCTATTTCCAGTTCCTCTGCACCAGCTCAAATATGCCTTTATTTTTTAAAGAAACATGTATTAAGCATCTCCAGTGTACTCAGCCCCATGTGAGGCGCTGTTACTGAATGTCAGGGAACTCAAGATTCTGGTCATGGAAAAGAGAGCAGTTCTGGTCATGGAAAAGCAGCATGCCGTTTAAGCAGCCCTTAAACAGCATGTTCCAGAATCCTTTCCCTCGGGCAACTAGGGTCCTCTTGGCTCTCGATGCACTTGATGTGGCAGTCGTCAGATGCTGGCTTTGTCCTGGGTTCTGCATCATCAGTGGACTCTGGAGCTGGCCTCAGCAGCACCCTCTCAGCTCCTGCACCCAGGCGTTAGCCCACAGCTAATTATTCCTGGATCCCTTTGCTCCGTGCAGGCAGCCCTCTTGGACAGGGCTCCATCAAGATGGCTGCAGCCGGATCACACTCTGAGGCAGCTCCTTGACTCATGGGAAACGCACACATGGGAAACACTACAGGTGTGGGGTGCCCTACCGCCAGCCTCACCCTGCTGGCAAGGGCTGCCCCGGCCAGGAGAGAGGCAGGCATCAATATGTCTTTACTCGGGACCACAAATGTCACCTGTCAAGCCGCCCCAAGCACTCTCTCTCACAGTACCCCCGGTACACCGAGATGGGCCTCCTAAGTCACTGCCACTCGGCAAGCATCCCTCCAGAGAGTGAGATAACGAGCTCTCGTTACTGGCACCTCCATTTTCTGGGTGCGGTTCTCGTGGAGCACCGACCACCCTTCCCTGGCATGAGGAAAAAGGCAACTCCCTCTGCCCTCCTACCCCGGAGGAAGGAAGGGGAGATCAAATACTTGGTCTCCTCATCCTGTGACTCCGACAGACGCCAGACTTCTGCCTCTGTAGGCAGAACGGGGCATGCGGGTGAGTACGGAAGGGCCATTTTGGCTGCCTTCCAGCAAGCCCTAGAAGGACGGTCTGGCAGCTTTCTAGCAGGCTCGGTGCTACTTCCTTCCTATAGGCCTTAGCTCTGGGCTCCAGCTGAAGGTACAAGAGGTACAGAGGAAGTCCCAAATCATATCATTCTAGATAGTCTTTATGCATGCTGCAGCCTTCCTTTGTTCTCAAAACCCAGCCACGTCTCACAAAACCTTCACAAAGCCTTCACAAAACCACCTACACTTGGACTTTGAATCCCTAAGAACGAGAATTTGAAAAGCTACATATTTCTCGGACCACTGTTTTAAAACACTAACGTTACATTGCATTAAAGCATTCCTCCATGGAGGACTTTTTCTTTACCTGCTTTGCCACATTTCTAAATGGTTTGTATTTGGGCGCCTGCGTGGCTCAGTGGGTTAAGCCTCTGCCTTCAGCTCAGGTCATGATCTCAGGGTCCTGGGATTGAGCCCTGCTTCCGGCTCTCTGCTCAGCGGGGAGCCTGCTTCCCCCGCCCCATCTCTCTCTGCCTGCATCTCTGCCTACTTGTGATATCTGTCAAATAAATAAACAAAATCTTTAAAAAATAAACAAATAAATGGTTTGTATTTGTTGTGGGTATCGCTAAAATATTTTGAGTCCCAAAGGCAAAAACCCAGTCCCAGAAAGTGAAGTGGAGAAATGAAGGTCGGCATCTTATGCATGCATTTCCAGATAGTCTCCAACTTGGGGCTCACTCAGCTGAGATCCCTTCCAGTTGATAGCGCTGGGAACCATACTGCTCTCAGGCTCTCAACAGGATCCAGCTGACACAGGTTTCTGGGCTTTTGGCTCTATGTGTCTTTGGAATCTGGGAGTTTTTTGAGGACAAGACTGTCCTCTTTTTCATTTTCATAACCCCAGTAAAGAGAACTGCACAGCCTAGTACATAGTAGGAGCTCAGTTGGTGGATGGATGGATAGATGGAGGAGACAACAAGGACTCACTTCTGATGGTGACAAAGTGAGCCCCGTCTCTCCCTGCCCCTTCCTGCCATGGTTCTTACTCGCCCTTCTGCTTCAAGTGCAGCCAGTTGAGAATCACCATCTGTTCTTAGCTATCCATTGTGTCCAGTAACTGCTGGAACTGCTCCAGTCCCGGGATCCCCTAGGAGCTGGAGGGGCAGAGCCCAGTGCCCCCACCTCAGACAGAAGACCCCTTCTTTTAATTCCTTCTACTGCTTCTGCCTTGATAAGAAGCACCCAACCTCTCCCTCATTCCACCACTAGTCCCACTGCACTTTGGGCGAATATGCGATGAACTGAATCACAGACCAAAGGAACGGAGGAAAATTTGGTCTGAGCACTTTTTTGGAAGCAGGGCCCTAAAAAATGTTGAAACTCCAGGCATCTGTATGTCACCTGTGAAGAGGCTATAAACCTAGAACAGAGGTTCTCGCTTTACTATCCTGTGCCTCAGTTTCCTCATCTGTAAAGTGGGAATAATAAAGGGTATTGACCTGATAGGTTTGCCTGAGGTTAAACGAGGGAATATATATTAAGAATTTTCACTAATAACTAATATTTAGTAAGTGTTCAATAAAAGTAGTAATTCTTGTTGTTGTTATGACTACCGTTACTCTCTGGAGTTAGCACTTGGCGGGTGCCTCGGTGGCTCAGTCGGTTAAGCATCTGCCTTTGGCTCAGGTCATGATCTCAGGGTCCTGGGATTGGGCCCCGCTTCGGGCTCTCTGCTCAGCGGGGAGTCTGCTTCCCGCCCCCCCACCCCGCCTGCCTCTCTGCCTGCTTGTGATCTGTGAGGTAAATAAATAAAATCTTTTAAAAAAAAGAACTAAACAAAAACCAAGCAGGAAAAAAAAACCCACCTATTTTAGAGAAGTTAGGAAATAGACATTGGCAGACTGGCCAAAATCCATTTTAATTTTTCACTTTTCAAAGCAGACTGTCAAATGAGCCATTTTGTTTGAGGTAGAAATTAGTATTTTAATTGCATTTCCACCCTACAGAGATTTTTCTTTAAAGAATTAATTGTCTTCAGAAAGTCAAATTTTGGATCAGTTAGATTTGTGGCATTTTTGAAATATATTTAGATTCTTCTCAGTGTCTTCTCATGCTCTGTGAATTTGCAAATTCAAAAGGAAAAAGTTCATGTCCTTGACTTCCTGCTAAAGGATGCCAGCACTGATACTGTTAATAAACAGCCCTAGTAAAACAAGCATAAACCTTTTGTGAGAACATTCCTTTCTAGAAGGAGTTGGTTTGCCTTTTCCCAAGATTTCGATTTTGGTGAAAATTCTTTCAGACATGTCTTGGCCAGAAAACGTTCTTTCATTTTGCTCTATATCCATGTTAGTGAATGTTGCTTCTACCAGAGGCAACAAAATATTGCAATTCTGAAGTAGTGATCGATTTTAAATGAGAAAGGAAACTGCCACATTGACAGAATCTTGGACCATCTATTTGAAGATGATTTTCTAAAACAATACACGTAAGACTCTTCTTGCAACAAGTTACGCTAAATGAGTGAGAGATTATTAATGGAAGGAGACCCTGAAATCATCAGCAAGCGTTTGTCAGAGGAAGATTTTGTTTAGTGAAATAGTAAGTAGGCAGCTCTGAACTTTTAGCAAAGAATTGGGAGTGTTGATTGGATTTTCTTCTTTGCTTTTAGCTGTATGACAAAATTAACACAAAATCTTCACCACAAATCAGGAATCCTCCGAGTGATGCAGTACAGAGAGCCAAAGAGGTAAGTGATATATTTTATAAATGTATCTGGGAGTCGTATTTGCTACCTTTATTGAAAACATTTCCGCTGCACAGTAAAGAGGTGGTTTCCTTGGAGTCACAATGGACCATACAGTCAGATTTAGTATTTCTAAGTTTATCACTGAACATTTTACATACAGGAAAGAAAGAAAAGCCTCAGGGACAACAATGCCTCGATTTCTAGTTCTGGTTCTGCTCTGTAAACTTGAACATGTTAATATATCAATTGTACTTCTCTTTTTTTTTTTTAGTAAGTTATTTTACTGCGCATGGTTGGAAATAGGCTCTGAAAATTTGAGTTGCTTCTATAAGACAGTAGTGTTTGGAAGTTAATTAAATATCTATAACAAGTATACTGAGTTCAGAGAGAAGTCACTTTTATAAATTATCAGCTAGTGTACATGGCTGTACCTGTTACCAATTTTTTTTTAAATGTTTTTAAATGTTTAAATGTTTTTTAAAGTAAAGATTACTTTAATACCTAATGTGGGGCTCAAACTCACAAGCCTGAGATCAAGAATCACAGGCTGTGCTAACTGAGCCAGCCGGGCACCCCGATTTTTTTATTATAGAAATATGATATTGCAAAAAGTTTGGATAAGTAAAAATCCATCCATAACCCCAGCACCCTAACACAGTAATTTTCATTCTGTGTATACACTTCCTGTCACTACCATTTGCATATAAATTTTATTTTTTTGCATATACATTTCATGTAGCTGCAATCAAAATACATCTTTTCTTACCTGACTTTATATAATCATTTTTCTAATGTTTATACTTGGTCTTCATAAATATAAATTCTAATGAAGGGTAAGTCTTTGTTATTACTAAATTATAATGAATTAGCAAGTCCTCCATCATTAGACGGGTACTTTTTTCTTTCACTTTTTGATGTTATAAAAGTCCGTATGCAAATTAACATTTCCCTTTCAAAGCAGTTTTTATACAGCGAGACTACTAAGTGAAAAGAGTATGAAAAACAGAATTCCTTCCCTACCAGATTTTAAACACCCATGCCTGCACTAGAGAGCCTCACATATACACTGAGAACCAAGACCAGCCGTGCTGCTGGACCTGCCCATGCGGTCAAGGGCACCAGCCAGCAGCCGTTCTCTCTGACTTAGGGGACCACACCTTGCTGTTTAAAAGTACAGACCTTGAGAGTAGTAGGGACCAGAGAGAACACATGGTTTCATCCTTTCATTTCACTGGTAGAGACACGCAAAGCATAAAATATACTGAGGCGACTTTGCTTATTATCTTCCTTACACAATATGAATTAACCGCATAACCAGCACTTGTTAAGGGTTCTTTTAGATAAGAAAGAAACCCTGTAGTGTTTGTTTGGTCTTTTTCCTTCTTCCCTGAGGAGGTGATTGAGTAGCACTTAGGTATGCCTGCAAGATCTAAGCCTTAGAGGTCCTCTAAATGACCTCTTAATGCTCCTTCTTGCCCCAGTATTAAGATTCTCCAAGATGATGCGAGAGATTACTCTGGGTGGATGACTTGTGTGCCCCTGACATCCAGCCCTCCTGAAGCCATCTTTGATTGGCTCAACTTTAGGAGTGCAATATGTATAACTACTCTGTGAGTCCAACCATCTACGGTTAGAAGAACCACAGTAGTGTGTTTACCCTGAGGTTGGGGGAGGGGGTGGCGGGGCAGGACAACAGAGGCTTTTCCCTGGTCTCCTGTCACATACTCAAATTTTAAATGGAGAAACTCCATCCTGATGGTAACGGATAACTTTTAGAGTGGAAGGAGAAGTTTTCAGTGGTTTTGGGTTTGGGGTTTTAACTGTTCCCTTGGATTCCCTGGCAGTGAACACTAGGAAGTGTTGGCAGAGGCGTGGTTTCCGCTATGTGAGGAGATGTGTGCGGAGAACACAGACTCTGCCAGGCTGCAGGAAAATTACTGAAGTGTTTCTTTTCTTTAAATGGTTCTTTATGTGAGCCTGTGTCATTTTAATCTTTCTCAAAGGAATCGACTGTTTTGTTAATGTAAAAAAAGCTGCTCTTAACTTTTATTACAGATTCATTTTGATAGTGAGTTTGGAAAAAGATTTGTAGAGATATTTGCCCATTAAGTTAGTTAAGTGACTTAACCCCTGTAGTAAATATGTATTGCGGACTTGTCATTTTGTTTTGTATTTTTCGATAACCTTTCGGGTTATAGTTGGGTAATTGAGTCAGAGAAATTATAGCAATTTGTTTTATCTTTTTATTACCATCAATAGTGTTCTTTTATATTGATAACCTTTAATAAAGTGATGAATTTTTTCCAAAGTAATGGTTTCGCCTGCTGTAAAAAAAAAAAAAAAATCTATTCATAATTTCTAATTTAAAAGAATTCTCTATTTTCTAAAGCTGGCGTCCTGTTTATACTGTTCTACATCTTGCTTATTTTTTAGGTATTGGAAGAAATTTCATGTTACCCTGAGAATAATGATGCAAAGGAACTAAAACGTATTTTAACACAACCTCATTTCATGGTAAGTACCGATTAAACTTCTCTAGAATTAAAACCTCACTTTCAAAAGAAGTTTTAATAATCCTCCTAAAATGTGGCTGTCTTCATCAGATATGGCATTACTCATATAATAGCAGACTGTTAAGAGTACAGTACCAGGTAATACTAAATACATCAAGATCCTTTTTGTTTACTTTGTGTCATAGTTGTAAAGATGCTATCCCTAGGGTCATCACACAAGGGATTTGCCTCCTGCTAGGATAGTTCTTAAGTCACCAGAACTGTGTATGGTATTTAAACCACAGAGAACTCAAACTAGAGATGGGTTTCACTTGAAAAGATCCCAGGTGGGATCTTTTTCACCTCTGATCCCAGGTTGTTTAGTGGAGGAATTCCATCACTTGATGATGCAGAACTCTTACACTCTCTGCACTCATTTCTACTGTATGGAAACCGGGGACAGCACCTGTAGTTAGCCAGTTACAATGCTAAATGGTTAAACAGAACTCAAAACAGATGAGATGCCTTTCTGTGAAAGAAGGTCCAGAAGTGTCTACTGAGCTGCAGTTCAAAAGCATGATTACAAGTGGAAATTTATGTTAAATATAACATTTTTTTATTATGTTCAGTTAGCCACTGTATAGTACCTCATTAGTTTTTGAATATACCATTTTTAAAACAATAGCCACAGGGGGTGCCTGGGTGGCTCAGTTGATTAAGCATCTGACTTTTGATTTCGGCTCAGGTCATGATGTCAGGGTCACAAGATAGAACCCTGTGTCAGGCTCCATGCTCAATAGCGAGTCTGCTTGAGATTCTCTCTCTCCAATAAATAAAATCTTTTTTTACAGATTTTATTTATTTATCTGACAGAGATCACAAGTAGGCAGAGAGGCAGGCAGAGAGAGAGGAGGGGAACCAGACTCCCCGCTGAGCAGAGAGCCCGATGCAGGGCTCGATCCCAGGATCCTGGGATCATGACCTGAGCCGAAGGCAGAGGCTTTAACCCACTGACCCCCCGTGGCCCAATAAAAAAAATCTTAAAAAAAAAAAAAAAGAGCTAGGCAAGGTTGGCAGAGGCCAGACCAAGTCAGGTCTTCCAGGCTGTGACAAGGAGTCTGGATTTTCTCCTGATCGCAGTCAGGCAACACTGAGTGACTGTGAACAGGAAAATATGATCAGATCTGTGCTTGAAAGATCCCCAGGGCTGGTGTGCAGAGAATGGTTTCTGGTGTGGATGAGAATTAAAAGAGGCTGTGGTGAGAGGTGGTAGAGGCTTGCGAAAGGCTGGAGCTGGTGGGAAATGGGCAGGCTGCGATGCAACATGGAGATGGTTGGACCCAACAGGACTTGCTGATGGCTGGGATGTGAGGGAGTGTGGCTAAGCCCATTTTACAGTTCAGAGAGGAAACTGCCCTGGAAAGGTAATGAGGCTTGCTAGACGTCACTCACCTAGTAAGTGGTCTTGCTGAGGTTCAAAACCCAGATCTTATGGGCTCCAAAGCCTGTGCTCCTAAAAGTTGGTTGACCTGTCATGAGGGTCCATTTTCCTATAAACTTGAGCTCACTGGTCATTCCCAAATAAGCATATGTTTAAATAACATCCCATGTAGAAAATATACTTCTGAGCTATATATATACTATGTTAAATAAACTTTTTTAAGTGCTGGAGCTTTTATCTTATAAGCATTTTAAAGTCATGGTTTCAAAATCTTGGTATTTTTAAAGAAATATTAATAGCTTAAAGGGAAATATTGTAATGCTTATGTTTTTATTATACTGAGGTTTGGGAGTTATTCTTAGCATAGTTATCATTTCACACTTACTGCCTCAATTATCTGGCTTTTTCTTTGCTTTCTGATCATTAAAACATGAAGGTTTAATATTGAATTACCTGACACTTAAAATATAGATACTTGTGAATATTAAAGTAATTAAAGAATAAAAAGGAATAGGTTTGAATTATTTTTTAAAGTCTGTATTCTAGGGGCATGTGGGTGGCTCAGTCGTTAAGTGTCTGCCTTTGGCTCAGGTCATGATCCCAGGGTCCTGGGATGGAGCCCCACATCAGGCTCCTTCTCAGCAGGGAGCCTTCTTCTTCCTCTCCCACTCCCCCTGCTTGTGTTCCCTCTCTCGGTGTCTCTCTGTCAAATAAATAAATTAAATCTTTTTTTAAAAGTCTATATTCTATCTTTAGAGGTCATGATAAAAAATATCACACTAATCCCTTTTCCAATTATTCCTTTTGAAAGACTTTTTTTACAAAAGAATACATAGATCCTTTGCTTATGGCAGTTGTAAAATATAAAACATTATAAAGACAAACATTAATAGAAGTGAAAGTTAATAAACTTAATGCTTTTTTCCTTTAGGAAATAAGATCTAGGGGCGCCTGGCTGGCTTAGTCAGTAGAGCATGTAGTTCTTGATCTTGGGGTCATGAGTTCAAGCCCCACACTGGGGATAGAGCCTACTTAATTAAAAAAATAAAAGTGAAAGAAAGTATCTGGAACAGAAGAATTTAAAAGCAAATCTGTATCCTACTTTCTCAAAAAAAATAAGATGGTTAAAATCACCTTAGATTATGATGATATTCTTATTATTTAGTGGCCCATTGTACGATTGATAATTAAGAAGCCAGAGGAGCCACTTTTCAACCATAAAATTCATATTTTTCCTGCTTATTTTAAAGCAATCAGATATTTTTTCACTGTAGTCTCAAGTTAATTGATTTATCCATGTCCTTGCTAGAGTACAAAAAGTGAAAGTATTTCTTTCCTATTACACGATTCTTATGTAATTAAAACTAATAGCTATTTCAGCATATTACCAATTGCTCAATTATACCTCATAACATATTCGGAGAAAAATATCGAGACTTAGATTTTTCCAATCTTTTATTCTGCATATTCTTTTTCCTTTTTTTAGATTTTATCTGCTTATTTTGGAGAGAGAGCATGCACATGCACGTGCTAGCAGGGGGCGGGACGGGGAAGAGGGGGAGAATGAATCCTCCAGCAGATTCCCCGCCCAGCTGAGCAGGGAGCCGTTAAGGAGCTCCAGCTCGTGACCCGGAGATCGTGCCCTGAGCTGAAATCAAGAGTCGGACACTTAACTGACTGAGCCACCCAGGCACCACTTGTATATTCTTTTTTACTGGCTTCCTTGAACAATCTATAAGTAGCCCCTTTTTTTCGGTTTGCATATACATTCGAACTTTGGGGGTAAGTTTTATTTTTGACAGCAGGCTTGAAGTGGCAAATCATGCTTAGCATCAAGTATGACCTTATTCAGTGACCTAATTTGAGTATTTTTTCTGTTGAAGTTCTATGTGGGTATTATTTTGTGATTGTTGGGACTTAATCCTTGCTTAGAAATAATACACTAAATACAAGTGTTTGCTTATGTAACTTAAAAGGGTGAGTAGAAATCATTTGCAAAAAAGCAGCATAAACACTTTCTCCAACCCATCTGATGCGTTCTCCTGATGAAAGTTTGGTTCTTTGCTTGCCAGGCTCTACAGCCTCCAGTCATACAAAGCCTGTCTTTGAAAGTTCCCCAATTATGGAAGCTACATCTATAGTTGGTATAACGAACCTAATATTAGCCGAGGAAGTTTTTGAGTTTATCTCTTATTGATTTTTGCTTTCTGCCCTAAATGTTAGTCTCTTAAGTGGCCACAATTAACCCAGGAAAAGAAGGATTTACTCCCAGAGCCCAACCACCATACTTGGGCCTGGGGTGCCAGTGCAGGGTGCAGCCCGGGCAGGGATCCAGAAGCCAAGGTCCCCAGGGCTTTCATGGAGCCCTGCACTCAAGTGGTGCACTGTTCTGTGCCCAGTCACCCAGACCCCAGGTTAGACCAGCCCTCTGCGGTCTTGAAAGTAGCTGCCATTTCCCTGAGAAACCCAAACGCATTATCTCTAAGCACATGCTCTACTGAGAGGACAGACCAACACCACCTTCTGTACGATTTTGCTGCCTTGTTACCTTTTAGTTTTGCCTCGTATGCATGCCTTTCAGATTAGAATAGCCAAGTCATGACTTTAATAAGCTTTTTAATTAAATAACTTAATTTGAGATGCAAAGGGTTATACTTTTAAAGCAATTTTAATTGCATTTCATGATCTCCGGATATTTCATCGCCATGCGGATCACAGATTAAAATAGAACGGAGTTTGTAGTTAGCACACGAGAAAGTAGAATCTGTGCAGAGCTCCAAACGCGCTGATATTCAGCCGTAAAATTCTCTTTGAAGGAGAAATGTTCAAATATTCGTGGCTATTAAAAACTTTTTTCTGGGGGCGCCTGGGTGGCTCAGTGGGTTAAGCCTCTGCCTTCAGCTCAGGTCATGGTCCCGGGGTCCTGGGATCGAGCCCCACATTAGACTCTCTGCTCGGCGGGGAGCCTGCTTCCTCCTCTCTCTCTCTGCCTGCCTCTCTGCCTACTTGTGATCTCTGTCTGTCAAATGAATAAATTAAAAAAAAAAAAACTTTAAAAAAATATATAAAAAAAAAAAAACTTTTTTCTGATGACACAGAAAGGACAGTAAGCAGAAGAATATCCTTTTTTAGGGAAACCAGGGGTCTTGGTTATCCAGTTTCACCAAGAAAGCATATGCGGGTATCAATACAAAGAAATCACTTTTTCTTTGTTTGTAGGCTTCGCAAAAATATTGATGATAATAATTGTCAACTTATTTTTCATTTGGGCAAGGGCTCCAAAAAAGAAAAATAACAAAAACATTACATACATTTAGACTTTGAGCTCCATATTGCATGTGATATTTTGGAAAATTACATTTTTTTTCGGACACACTGGTGTGTCTCTTCATTCCTTTTACTAAGTCATAGGTTATAAATTATCTTCATCCTTTGGTTAATACTGTCCAGAAAGATATTTGCTCAAAACTCCAATTATTGCATTCTTTTTAAATGCGTTCCCATTGTAAGCCCTAGCCCAAATTTGCCACCTCTGTTTACAGATGATTCCTTCTACTTAGTTCTTTGAAATTACATTATGCCTGCCTTTATTTGAAATAACACATTTCTCCTGACATAGTGCTATTATTAATATTTCACTTTCTTCATAAACTACCAGGCCTTACTTCAGACTCACGATGTAGTGGCTCATGAAGTTTACAGTGATGAAGCATTGAGGGTCACTCCTCCCCCCACCTCGCCCTATTTAAATGGTGATTCTCCAGAAAGCGCCAACGGAGATATGGATATGGAGAATGTGACCAGAGTTCGCCTGGTCCAGTTCCAAAAGAACACAGATGAGCCCATGGTAAGTTTTCTAGACTCTAAAGTCCCAGCCGGAACTAGGGCTCCCAACTTCAGCCTGTGCTGCTAGGAGGTGGGGAGGGCATGAACAGTGTGAAAAACGGTCTGTCTCCAGCTCCTCCACCACCACGTCCGAGCCCACACCCAGAGCTGTTCCACCTGACAGCATGCCTGAGGCTCCCCGCCCCCTACCTCTCCTTTCACAAATGCTCTGCAGCTCACCCAAAAAAGGACCTACCTGCTACAGCACTCTAGGAAAAACCTCTGGGGCACAATTTGAAATACTGATATCAACAAAGTGAATGTCTAATGACATTGTGAAAAACATCTTCTTATAAGATCTTTGGCCTTCTGCAAAATGAGAGGAAGACTAATCTGGAAGGCCTTCTAAGAACTGAGCAATGTGGCTAAAATAACATTCCTTCCATTCACATCTATCTCTTTGATACGAATTCATTTCCTCGGGGTGTAGGAACAGCGTTGGAATAGAACTGATACTGAACCCGCCTCGTTGTCACAGAATCCTTGTACATGGGGAGAGGAAGATCGAGGAAAGACTCCTTGGAGTGAAGCGAGCAAAGTGGGGCGTGGGGCAGTAGGGCAGAGTGGAGACCGTCCAGGACACCCAAGCGGCATGTGCAGAAGCCCGCGGGTCAGAAGGGCTCTTCTGGGTGGAAAGAGGGCACCACAGCTGCAGTATAGAAAACGAGCTGGCAGGAACAGACACACAGAGTGTCGAAAGAATGTTAAGGCATGTTAAGGACTCTGTTCTTTATCTCAAAGACAGTGGAGAGCTATTGAAGAGTTTCAAGCAGGGAGAGATCAGAGTTGCATTTTAGAAAGACCGCCCTCCAGAGAACGGATTAGACGGGGAGGAGGGAGGCTGTGGGGAGAACCCGTGAGGAAGTTATTGGCTCGGGACCAAGGAGAGCAGTTGGAACTGGGAGGTAGAGGCGCGGATACCAAATGGAAAGAGGTGAACAGACTTAACAAAAAAGTAAAATCAATAGACCTAGATAACAGACGGCCAGTGGGGACAGAGGGAGAAGCAGTTACCAAGGATGTCCCTTAAGCTTTAGGTGTTCACAGCCAAATGGCCGGTGATGCTACCCACTGAGATAAAGACCATTGGAAAAGTTCCATGTTTGGGGGAGGAATCCTATCTTCAGGGGGGAAAAAAAGCCTTGAGACTTATGCACTCCTATCTTTCCCTCAGAGCATAGAAAAGGGATATTGCAATATAGAAAAACAAATTCTCTACTTAAGAAAAATGCCCGGTTGCTTTCCAGATTAAAGGGAGAGCTACAGAGCAGTGATTCTCTGACTGTGATTTTCAGAGAGCCCTCAGCTCTAGATGTTTCTGGCTGTAACTCTCATTAACTGATCTCTGCACAGCACTTAAAGCAGGCAGGGGACATGTGAATCACTTCACCCCTTTTCAGTGTCATCCAAACAACTCTTTGGCTTAAGCACACAGGCAATAGCAGCCTTTGGGTGCCTTGGGCAGATCACTTCAAGTCTGCTCGTACTTTGCTTAGCAATTATTGCCAGAAGCATACTTGACTAAATGACCCCCCAGATCCCACCCTGCTCTGAAAGTCTAATACCCATTTATTCATATTACGTATTCATTCACTCATTTAGCAAATGTTTGTTAAGTGCCCACTATGCGCAAATCACTATGTTGGATGCCAGTAATGTAGTGGCAAGAAAGACACAGCCCCTTCCCAGAGCTCACTTTCCCCAGGGCTGCCAACATCAAATAAATACGCAGTTTAGCACAGTTTGCTAAACAGGAAGAGTTAGTGATAGAGCTGTAGAGGAGAAAAGACTGTGTCCGAGAGGCAGGAAGAAGTGGTGACGTTCAGCCAAGCAAACCAGACAGGAAAGCTGGAGGGGATGGCAAGAAGGAGGCCCAGAAGTGTCCAGTGATTATCATATTCTAAAGTAGCCCAATGACATTTGTATGATCTTTCCTGTGGAGGCTCACTACCTAAACCCACAGGCTGAGTAAAAGTGTATCCCTCAGTTACTTCAGAACGCATAAAATGACCAAGTCTCCCCTAGATGTTTCCTTAAAGAAGCCCTTCTCTGTTCTGTCTTTGATCCTACCGAAAGTGTGTATTCTCCTTTTGACTGGTTGCCGTAAAAAATGGAAATTATTTGGTATAAAATAGATATTTTCAATAATGGAATACAGTTCTCTGTTACATTTAATAAGCTTCATTTTCTTGGTTAGTTGTCTTATTAAAAGCATTATATTGCTGTTCGGGATATATCTATATGATCTCTTTTGCTTTTTGGACCTTCTTTAATGTGTCCAGCTATGTTAGATCCACCCTGTAAGGATGATACACTCCCATCACACCCTGTTTTCCCATTGGCAACTTCACCTTGAAATTACTCTCAGTCGATTGAGACTCCCTCAGTTGCAAGTGATAAAGACCAAAGTTGAACTAGCTTGGACGATAGGGGAAAGGCTTATGTAAACAAGGAAAGGCCTGGAGTCTATCCCAAGCTAGGGGTAGGTTCATGGCATCCAGCCCAACCTGGCCCAGTCCCTTCCCTGGAGTTTGGGAACTTGGGAACAGAGAGAATGTGAGTCAGTTCCTCTCTGCAAAGAAATGTTTGGGGCAGATAAAATAATAAATGTTAACTGTAGTTGGTTTGAGGTGAACATCCCCCTAGTCACGAGAGACCCTGCCTGTCTCATCACTATTGTCTGTTCACTAATGAACAGTCTCATTCATTATGTGCCTAGCTGAGTGCCTGCCCACATAACAGGATCATAATAACGTTGGTTGAATGGATACATTAATTTATTAATTTCAAGGATTGAAGCCCCATCATACTATCATTTCCCTTATGAAATTAGATTTGAGTTACACATGAATTTATAGCATTTCTCCAGGAACACCTCTCTTGGTAACCATACATGCTGATTGAATACACAAGTTGGAAATGAAACTTGAACATTACAGTTGAACATTGGGACTAGAAACATTTTGATATACCAGTTTTTCACATTGCTTGCCCACCACTTCTAAGAACTGAAAAATAGGAACCAAGCAAAGTTACAGTTTCTGGAATTGTGCAGATTCCAAGTCTAAATTATAAAGGCTCAGATATTTTCATGAACCTTTCCAACAGAGTGTTGTTCTCCAAAGAAGAAAAGACCGTCCCCCTACCCTTAATCATCTCAAATTCAAGACCAGTTTTCACCAAGGGAACCTGTTAAAAATATAGGTTTCTGGGCTCCATTCCAGACTTCCTGAATCTAAATCCAAGGAGTGAGTTTAAGAGACAGTATTATTTAAAAGGTCCCCATGTGATTTTTAGGATCAGCCAGGTCTAGTCCAAAAAATATGCTTATGAAAGTTTATCTTATAATAGAGAATAATGGGAAAACAAAAAGTAATCTCTGTAGACTAGTAGTCTGGCATTAAATATGCGGAGCTTCTACTTCTGACCAAGATGGAGTAACAAGGACCAGATTTACCCTCTCACCCGAAATAACCAAAAAAACATTTTTAAACAAACGAAATTACATAAAAGAACAGTTTTCAAGACATTGGACATCAGGCAACAGAGGAAAATGATCCCTAAGAGACAGGAAGCAAACAGGGTGAGCCCTATGATCGCCTGACCTTATTGACTTGAAAGAGTTTCCAGGCCACAACACAGGAAGGGAGAACTGAGGCAGAGCAGGCAGTTCTGAATTGAGGACACAGAGCTGAGAATCCAAGGTGACCTAGGCACCTAAAGTGCACAGGACAGAGGACCAAAGAAAAGAGAGCTTCACAGGAAGAGAACCCCCAGAGATCTGTAGAGGGTCCCCCTGAAGTATTCGTTTGAGTTATGATCAGTGCATTTATGAGAGGAAACTACCCAGAGCACAGTATGGAATGTATGTATCATTATTATAGCAATCAAAATACCAAAAATAACATTTTTGTCCTGGCATGGTAGAGTAACAGACGGTTTTCCTCCTTCCTTCATTTTCCATATTTTCTTGAATGTTTTCCTTACTTTTAGTAAATAAAATTATCTATAATTATCACAAACATAAAAAAGAATAGTAATTCTATTTTACTTACCTTTTTACAGGGAATCACTTTAAAAATGAATGAGCTCAATCATTGTATTGTCGCAAGAATTATGCACGGGGGCATGATTCACAGGCAAGGTAAGTTTCATATGTGATTCTTTCCCTCCTTACCTTTTTTTCCCTATAGCCTAGTGGAGAAAGTATTGTTTATGATCCATATAAACAATCTGTTTACTCTGTGGTCCACATAATGATCTATTTAAGTTATCTATCTTTGGTTTTAATCACTGTTGGTCTCATTTGTTTATATTCTTCTGTACATGCTCCAGCCTGTGGATAACGGGGGGAGGGTATATTACAGTTCTGTTACCGAACATCTCTGAATTACTGTTTGGATCCTGACTTTAAAAAGACCATGGAGTGGGCGCCTGGGTAGCTCAGTGGGTTAAGCCGCTGCCTTCGGCTCAGGTCATGATCTCAGGGTCCTGGGATCGAGTCCCGCATTGGGCTCTCTGCTCAGCAGGGAGCCTGCTTCCCTTCCTCTCTCTCTGCCTGCCTCTCTGCCTACTTGTGATCTCTCTCTCTCAAATAAATAAATAAAATCTTAAAAAAAAAAAAAGACCATGGAGGATAAAATAAATATCCTACCTGGCCCCTGGATATCTGGAAGGCATCTATTCTGGGACATAGGTACATACATAATGTTCATTCACTTATGGATATAGATATGTAATGACAGTTGAAGAATTTCTCATTCATGCAGGAATGAGATGTACTCTTTCTAAATTAGGAAATCAGGGGCGCCTGGGTGGCTCAGTGGGTTAAGCCTCTGCCTTCGGCTTAGGTCATGCTTCCCCCTCTCTCTGCCTGCCTCACTGCCTACTTGTGATCTCTGTCTGTCAAATAAATAAATAAAATCTTTTTTAAAATAAATAATAAATTAGGAAATTAGAGTTTGATAAATAATATAAAAATTAAATGACAAAATAAGAGATAGCAAATCTAGATTAAGTTTTTAATACCTGCCACAGTAATTGCAGTCCTTCTGAGAAAGGAACCCACTAAGGCCTGAGGTAAAGAAAGAATGAGTTTTTGAGAAAGGGGAACTTTCATTAACTCTTGGGTGGGCAAGATCTGCACATGCAGGCCTAGCCTCGTCCTTGGAAGGGCTGAATTATAGGTACTAGCCTTGACAGGCTGATCCAAAAATTAGGCTTCCTTTCTTTGAGATGAGGGGTTTTTTGTTGTGTTTTTTGTTTTTGTTTTTGTTTTTGTCCTTAGCACCTCTTTACTTTTTCCTTAACCTCAGAGAGCAGGAAGTAACCCTGGAAGCATTTTCATGCTGCCTACAGGGGAATCTTTAGAGGCTGCGGGAGTAGACTGCACTCATGCGGGAGAATTGGTTTTAGACTCCAGGATGAATTTTCTGTTTCTTATTTTTAATAAGTTGCTATAAATTCAGTAAAGCAGGGGTACCTGGGTGGCTCAGTGGGTTAAAGCCTCTGCCTTCGGCTCAGGTCATGATCCCAGGGCCCTGGGATCGAGCCCCGCATCGGGCTCTCTGCTCAGCAGGGAGCCTGCTTCCTCCCCTCTCTCTGCCTGCCTCTCTGCCTACTTGTGATCTCTGTCAAATAAATAAATAAAATCTTTTTAAAAAATTCATTAAAGCCACAACATCATTGTTTCCATAGTCTCTTTTTCTTATATTACCGTGTGACTAGGGTCTGCCATCTCTGATTGAAGTGGTGTCGTGGACATCCTCCTCCTAGTCTCATTTTTGAAAAGTAGCTTTCTCATGATTCCCCGTGAAGAGTACCATTTACTGTAGAATTTTAGTTAGATGCCTTCTCTTAGGGCTGAAGATGTTCTCTTCTATCCTTAGTTGCTGAGCCTTTTAATTATGATTGAGTTGTGAATCTTATCAGATGCTCTTCATCTGCTGAGATGATCATTTGGAGGTTTTTTTTCCTTTTATCTATTAACATAGTGAGTGACTTTGAAAGATTTCCTAATGATAAACCCCTTCTGCATGTCTCAGATAAACCTAGCTTATTCGTTGTGTGTTTGTTTTTTTTTTTTTTTTTTTGTATGTACTGCTGGATTCTGTGTGCTGATGTTTTATTTAGAGTTTTGGTATTTGTAATTATGAGTGAGACTGGCTGGTAGTTAATTTTCCTTTCTTGTCTTGCTCTGGGGGGTTTTAGTTTCAAAGTTACATTGCCTCATAAAATGATGTGGAGAGCCATCTCCCTTCATGAGTTCTCTGAAAGACTTTGTAGAATATTGGAATGACTTGTACCTTTAAAGTATGGTAGAACTTGCCTATAAAACTATAGAGGCCTGATGTTTTGGTTTTCATTTTGGTTTTTTTAGAAAAGACTTTTTTTAAAGGAAGCTCTACACCCAATGTGGGGCTTGAACTCATGACCCTAAGATCAAAAGTTGTATGCTCTACCAACTGAGCCAGCCAGGCACCCCAGGAAAGACTTTCTTTTTTTTAAAACTGCTTCAATTTCTTTAACATTCATAAGGTTACTCAGGCTTTCTATATCTTGAGTAAATTGGAAAATTACATTTTTAATGCACTCTGATGATCACTATCTTTTAATGGGCAAGGTTAGTCCGTTAATATTTATTGTGATGAGTCTGTCATCTTTTTTATTTATACTTATCCCATTTTTTAATGGATTTTCTTGTTCATTTTTTGTTCCATTTTTTCCCCCTGGGAGTTTAGAATTTCAGCACTCTACTTAGATCTTTTAGGTGGTTACCTTGAAATTTTATCATGTGTAATTAACATTATGTTTACTAGAGGGAAATAGTATCTTAACCCCACTCCCAAAGACATTTCCCTTCCTCTCTCTCTGCCTGCCTCTCTGCCTCATGCGGGAGGCATCTAAATCTGATCACACTTTCGACTTACATATTATTTTGCCCAGCATTTTGTTCTGTCCTGTTTTAAATTCACAAATTTGCAATTACTAACATGACTATTTTTGTTTGGATTTACATAAATGGTTGTGGTTTTATTTACTCCCCATTCCTTCTATCTTATGTTATTTCTAGTATAGTTAACATACAAGTGTTTGGTATATTAGTTTCAGATATAAACTTAGCATTCCTTCTCAAATTACAGACCATCCTTTGGGGAGCATTTTCCTTCTTCCTAAAGTACATCCTTAGAAGTTCCTTTAGTTCTAGTCTCCTGTTGATAAACTCCCTCAGGTGGTATTTATCTGTAAATATTTTATTTCATCCTCAATCTTGAAGATTACTTTTGCTGAGAGCACAGTCTTAGGTTGATGGTTACCGTTCTGTTGTATTTTGGCATCCACTGTTTGACATTGGAAAGTCTGATGTCACTACAATTGTCCTTGAATTGTAAGTGATCTCTCCTTTCTCTCTGGGTTTTCTAAGAACTTTGTCTTTGGTGGGGGGGCGGAAATCTTTGTCTTTAGATGTTCTGTAGTTTCACTACCTTCCAACATGGTTTTCTCTTTATTTATCCTCTTTAGGATGCATTATTCTTCCTGGATCTGCATAATCATGTTTTCATCAGTTCAGTAAAGTTTACAACCATTATCTCTTCAAATATTGCCTCCTCTCCATTCTCCGTATTCTCTCCTTTTGAACTCTACTAGATATGTGTTAGACATTCCCTCCATATCTCTTAATTTTTTTCCTGTTTTCTTTATTTCTTGTCTCTTGTTTTCCCTGTCTCATTTCCCTGTCCTGCATTCTAGGTAATGTACTTGGTTATATCTTCCAGTTCACTGACATTCTCTTCAGCCATATCTGAATTCCTGTTAAACTCCTCCATTCACTGGTTTCTATCACCAGTTATAGTTTTCTTTTCTAGAAGTACTAGTCATTTGTTCTTAGTTTTATTTTCAAATCTATCTGTTCACATCTGATAATCTCGTGTTGTGTGCTCATCCTTGCAATTAGGTCCTTTATTTTTTTTTCTAATATTTAACATGTGGCTATTTTATATTCTGTATCTGATCATTCTAGTAGCTGTCCTCCTTGACAATCTAAATCTGTTTTTTCTCTTTCTGATGACTTTGCCTTATTGTATGTTTGGTGACCTTTGTGAGCTCATTGTTTGTTCTAACTAATGGAAGTCCTGTGGGCCTAGACTGGGTACACTTTGTTTGTTCCCTCTTCTACTAACTACCATGGAGTGCCTGGATCTGGCACTCCCTCCAGATTCCTGGGCTCAGTTTCTGTCACTTGCCGTTGGCCCAAGGCTCAGAATCTGGCTAGCAGGCACTGCTGCTGTGCCATCCACCCTTTCCACTGTTTCATTCCACCCTTCGTTCGCCACCACTCTGGATCCAGCTCACGGGTCCTTATGTGCAGCCGATGGTGGGGGATGGAAGTAGGCAGTGCTCTTAGGAATTTGTACTCCTTAGCGGCAACCCCATCGGGACCCCTCTCACTCTTGAGAGCTTTTTCTGTATCTTCACTTAATAAACTTCTATCGCTTTATTTACCCCCCCCCCAAAAAAGGAATTTGTATTCCTTTTGTGAGACTAGTAATACTTCAATAGGTGTGCCCTAGATGGGATACAGGTATAAGAAAGTCCACAGATTTTTATTTTATTATGTTAATTTTCAAACATGAGTAGAGAGAATAGTGCAGTGAGTTCAAGTAGAGAAAAGTGGAAAGAAGAGTGATCACCTGCGTACCCATAACCCACTAGAATCACTGTTACTTCACAACCACACCAATGTCATCTGTACTTCCCCTACTGTCCACCCCCAGGGAATATTTGGAAGCAAATCTCAGGGGTCTTACTTTCTTTATGTGCATTTAGTGTGAACCTCTAAAAGATGCTGTGAACTTTTCATAATGATGCCAGGTCAGTATGTAAACATGTGCACAATTTATAAATAAGGAAGTAAAATTTCACATAACTCCCTATTTAGGCATTGGTTCTTGGGCTCTCTTTCCAATTGAAATATGACAGGACCCTGAAATGCCTACCAAATTATTATAAAATGATTGTGTTTTGTCTAATGTAAGTTGAGTGTTATACAGGAATTATCACAATTCTCTGCATCATATTTGGTAGATGATGATGATGATGAAAATGGTAGGAGGGATGCCTGGGTGGCTCAGTTGGTTAAGCGGCTGCCTTTGGCTCAGGTCATGATCCCAGGGTCCTGGGATCAAGTCCCACATCAGGCTCCTTACTCAGTGGGGAGCCTGCTTCTCCCTCTGCCTCTGCCTGCCTCTCTGCCTACTTGTGATATCTCTCTCTCTCTCTCTCTCTCCCTCCCTCTCTGACAAATAAATAAAATCTTAAAAAAAAAAAGAAAAGAAAATGGTAGGAAATGATAACAGACACTTCAGTGATACTTTACCATGTGCCACGAACACTCCTGATCCTTCTACATATATTAAACTAACTTAATCCTCAAGGCAATCATATGAAATAGATACTGTTTTCATCTCCATTTTGTAAATATTGAAAACTGAGATATGGAATATTTTGGTATCCTACCCAAGATCTTAAAGCTGGTATGGGATGTAGCTGAGATTTGCCCCAGACAGGCTAGATCTAGAAACTGTCATTTTAAACCACGATACATAGTGCCTCTCTCAGAGAAATAAGCAGATTTCCACAGCCATCTTTCAAAAGTGTGCCTTCCGTAAGTAGATCTATCTGTTTTGGTGAGTTTACCAAATGAGCCAAATCTGTACCTGTTTCTGAAACATTGACCTTCAATAGTTAGCTTAATTTTTTAATTACTTATATTGCTGTCTTTGGACATTATTATCAATGTTACATACATCATTTCATGTTTGCAACCGTGTCATTTCTTTAGGTACACTTCACGTCGGTGACGAAATTCGAGAAATTAACGGCATCAGTGTGGCTAACCAAACAGTGGAACAGCTGCAGAAAATGCTCGTGAGTACATGAAAGTTTCTTTGTCTTTTTTCCAAGACTGACTTTCAGTTTGTTAGCTTGCTTTATAATGCATGAATAAGTGGTATTCTCTTGTAATCAGAGTATTTTTCTGGTCCCACTGTTTGTTGGACTTGACTTTCTACAACATTCATAAGAACTGACAACTGGGAAAATGTTTACATGCAACAGAGCTTGGAAACCTCTTGCCCATCGAGCAGTGTGGGCTTCGACGGTCTCCTTGCCTCCTCAATCTCGTTTCTTACTGAGCAGATGTGTAAAGATAACCTTTCCAATTGTGCGTATATGTGAACTCGTTTCTCCCCACCCTCCATTCTCCTGACATCAGCAATGTCAGAAGCCTCGTTCTGTTCAGCTGAGTCATAGCCCGCTGTATTGGATTCCTCTGCAGCACAGAGGGAAGGAAAGACATAGTAGACCTGGCTATTTTTGACCGTACATAGCCAAAATCTGTGTTCACAATTGACCTTTTATTAAAAAAGCAGAATGACGGTCCCTGGCCTATGTTCACTGTCATACTGAACAGAGGCAGATGTCTTGGACCTCTGGTCCTGAACCATCTTCCTGCCACAGTATAGTGGCCTCGCACATTATGAATCTCTCTTAAGTGTAAAATAAGCACACAAACTCACTATAGCAAAAACCGTGAGGCCAACATTATAAAAGAAAAAGCAAATTCAATGGAGTACACCATCATCGTGTAGCAGACCAAATACCGTCTTTGTGTAATTACTTATTCTGTCATCTGGCTCAGTTCATACTTACTTTTGAAAAGCACTTAGAAGTTTCTGTGTGTCTATAAAAAGGGAACCGCTGGGGGTCTGTTCCACTGCTGCTGCCCGAACAAGGCAGTCAGCCTTGACTTTGCAGGGTTTCTCCCGAGAACAAAGTCTATTCCTGTGAGCAGCCCCTACCTTCTAACTCCATTTCGTTTAAAAGGCCCCTGCGTGCTCGGCTGGCTTGCATTAATTCCCCCCCCATTTCAAGTGGTTTCTCACATGTCTTTGTGTGCAACATTTGTGTGTTAAGCAAGCTCTCCTTTCTTCCCCCTCCAGCGGGAAATGCGGGGGAGTATCACCTTCAAGATAGTGCCAAGTTACCGCACTCAGTCATCGTCCTGTGAGGTAATGGCTCCAGCGCGACCCCCCACCCCCTCCCACTGCCCCCGCCACCCCTGTCTCCTCTGGGTTCTTAACTAACTGTCTGCTGATGGCTGAATGTTTTGGCTTTCTGGGAAATTGTTCTGCCTGTGCTGTTGATCACTGCACACCAATTTTACAACAAAGATAACGGAACAGAGTAGGTTCCATTCACCTACTCGGCCCTGCTTCCATGGGGAACTCCTCAGCACTTTAACTGTCTGCAGGCTGGAAGGGCAGCCAGATCTCGAGGAGCTCCAAGTAATGACAGAAGGCTTAATAACAAATGGAGTCTCTGAGGAAAAGAAGAAAGATAATTGCAATAATATTTCCAGGAAGTACATTCACTTCCCTTATTAAGAAATCACACAGATAGTTCTTCTTTCCAAGAATTTGAGAAGTGATCTATTTCTGTTAAGACTGAGGTGTTAAAAAAAAAAAAAACTGTGACAAGTCCCTGGACAGATGTTAAGTCCATGAGGAGTTGATAACTGACCTTCTGAGAGGAGTAGAGGCTTTTGCGACCTTCTGTGAAATCGTTTCAATTTGGAACACTTTGTGATTCATAAGCAAGTAAGTTTTCTAGGATAATACAACCCCAAGGTTCCTTTCTCACGGTAGGTGTATCGTATAGAAATTGTAGCTCTCCGACCTATATTATCCAGTTTCATGTCGGTCATGAAATGAGATTCCAAAATCTATTCTTTTTGTATTTGGAAACACAGGCTGGCATGAAGGGTCTGTCACCTTTCAGTCATTGCACATTCAGCTCGAGCATAATTATTTGAAGCTGATCCTTTTCATTGCATCTCCCGAGTCTGTGTACTTCGGTGGGAAGAACATATTTCCTACAGATGCTTTTCAAGACTGACAAATGACTTATTGGAACTCATCTAGAAAATTGAATTCGTACCCAGGAGAAGTTGAGGGAGAAATTGCAGTGCCTCTTCCAGACCCTAGTAAGGCTGTCGATCTCACAAGCAAACTCAGAGGCTTTGCTTTCCGAACCTATCAAAGATATGTCTAAGAATTTGTAGTTTGGTCAAGGATATTTTTTAGTGCACCGTGACAGTTGGGGTTTCTGTTCTGTCAGGTTTTGAGCTCCTCTTGGTGGCTTTTTATGGAACTTCAGTGAATACTATATTTCAAAAGAAAACAGAGAGCTACTTCTGCTCCAGGATTCATAGTTTTGTAATTTGTAACCTAGAACACAGACCTTCCAGGGAAGAGAGAATGTCACACACACCTCTCATGTGAAGCATTCTAATATTCTAACATCATAGGTGGTCCTCATACCATTTGTCAGCATTGAAGACATTCAATGAATACGATTGATTTGTGTTTTCTTAGCTAACCAGGGGATATTGTTAGTTATTAAGATATAAGTTTCTCTTGTGTTTTTTAAGTGGTGGAACTAGTTTTAGGGTGGGACCAGTATTACACATACAAATTCTACACTTGAGTCAGAAGAGCCCCCCCTTACCTTCTTTACTTCTGAATAGTAGGAAAAATGATACTCTCCTCCTAGCCCTACCCCCACCCTGTTTGACATTCTGGTGCCCTGGCAGAATTCAAGCCTATGGTTGGACTCTTCCCAGCTAGGGCAGTACTTCCTAAAGAAGGGCTCTCTGGCCACCCGCATCAGTATTCCCCGGGCAAAAGAGGGGAGACCCTGCCCTCACTCTGGCCCAGCTGACTTGCTTCTCAGGGGGTGGCACCTAGAAACCGATCTGCTCATGAGCATTGAGAATGCTCGTCTAAGGGAGCCCGTTATTCAAAAAGCTAACAAGCTCCAGAAGTTTTCTGCATACCTTCTAGAAAAAACAAATGTCTTTTGAGCAGACATGTATATCTCAAAGGTTTCAGAGAACTCCACTAAACCAGAAATGCTACAGTGCATATTTTCTTCCTCTCTTTATGCTTGTCATTAAAGCTGATTTGGACAATAAGGGAATGGAGCCCAGAGAGGACTGTGACTGAGGACGACAGATCTAGGGAGAGTGGCTGTGCCTCCTCGGACTTTTGCCAGAAGTGTAATATTTTTAGAGGCTCGAGGTTATTGTTTTAATCATTCTCCTAAAATGATCTAAAGAATAAAGGTTTCTTCTCTTGTGGATGTCTATCTTTTACCCTCATTAGTAATATTTGTCCTGGAAAGACTCCAAGGTGATTACAACATGAGAAGTTTTTTTTTGGTGGGGGGGGGGTTAGATTTGTTTCACTTCAAATGAGTCATTCAGTAATTTTTGACACTGAGGTACCTAAAAACTATTAAGTACTTTTCAACCTAATTTTGAATAAAAAATTAGGCAGTTGGGATCTTCAGCACAATAAGTGTACAGTAATATTTGTCATTTTACAGTCCTTGTAAAAGGATTTTAATTGGATTTTATTGGATTTTAATATCAATTCCCTTTTCCGGGTCTCACTTAAAGTCAGCCAAGGTTATAGAGTATTGGAGACAGGAGAGAAATTATTAATGAATGACACAGTCATCGCATACAATAAGTGAATCTTCCAACTGCAAAAACTTTTTCATACTTCTGTGAAATCATGCACGTAAGTCAGTATAGCACCTTTACAGCTAAAAAAAAAAGAAAAAGAAAAAACCTCAGAGGAAACGGCTGTCAGATTGTGGTTGTAACTGTTAATGTGAATATCTCTGTTTCTGTGCCAGTGTTCTGTGTTAATGAACCTTGTGTCTTATTTCAGAGAGATTCCCCCTCCACTTCCAGGCAGTCCCCAGCTAATGGTCATAGCAGCACTAACAATTCTGTTTCGGTAAGAACTCTAGCTCCACACAGCAAAGTGTGACAATTCTGTTGGTGCCACCTGCCATGAGTGTTATAGTTCCATGTGTTCAGTGGAAAATATTGTCTTCTGCCGATATACAAGGCTACTACAGCTACAATGCAGTTTACTCCTGGAAAATCTTTTCAACATTTTCTTCTCGTGAAAAAATCCCTTTAATTAGTTAAATTGGAAGAACTGGAGTTCAAGATCGCTTTGGTCATGCTCAGAATATTTGTGTCACCCCACTGGCGCCTCTCTGACTTTGCTCAGACTTCCTTACCCAAAGGATATCCTAAATGGCAATTTATTGAAATTTCTAAATTTTTTTTAATTGGAGAAAGATGAAGAAACTTAAGGATTTTGCAGAGTAGGCATCTGGGTATTCTCGGGCTTTGTAGTTGTCTATTCTGAGTGATATCAGCAACCTGTTTTAGTTTCCGCTATCTACGTTACGAATTGGTGTGCCCTCTGTTATTGTGGTCCGTGCACATATTTTTGTGAATTATAAGCCTTGCCTGGATATGAAAAGCAAAAGGAACTGGCTTCCAACTGCACTTAAGCCACGCTGTTATCACATCTTTAACACAAAGTACTTGATAGTTTGACTTGAACTTGGAATTTTACTTTTTTTTTTTTTTTTCAGAACTATTCATTTTGGAGTATGAAAAGAATTGTTTTTCATTTACTTAAACGGAAGCACTTAAGGTGCAAGCATCTGACCTTTCAGGGTAACAAAATCCTAAGTTGCTGATACTGCTGTAGAACTGTAGCGCGAGTTTTACTAAACGCAGCAGTATCGCTCGTTTGCTGTCCACGTGCCCTTTAAAAACACATCAACTGTCTTCAGTCGATAAAATTGTCCATAATTTAGAGATCATCTCGAACAGAATGATATCAGTAAGAGAAATTATAGGAGAAAATTCCTAACGACCTTTGTTTTTAACTTCCGAATAGGCTACCAATGGAATTCGTTCTAATAGTGTTAACATGTAATACATGGAATTCCTCAAAACCAAATGATTGCAGTGACGAAGTTGAAAAGGGCAACAGCTCTTTTACGTTTGGGGTTTTCTTTTTGTTTCCAATAGGGCTGTTTCACTCACAGTGGCTTTTGTGTTGAAGATGCTGAGTTGTTTCTTAAGAGCACATTTTCTCTCTTGCTTAAACTTACCTGCTTCCCTCAGCTTGCTGCTAAGTGGCCTGGGTTTGACTTTTTTTCGATGACTCAACATTTCTGAGAAATGGAATAATGTCTGTGATCTCTTTACAACTGAAATCTAGCTCATTTTTTAACCATATTGTAACAGAACACACAAATCACCTTGTACTCTTGAAAAGTAAATGAAAATTTTTCTCCTGGGTTGGCTTTATTCTACAGGACTTGCCATCAACTACCCAACCAAAAGGACGACAGGTGAATAGATATCCTCTATAGAAACTTCTCTAAACTGAGCTGCGAATAGCCAGTCCTTTATTAACCCTTTCCATCCCATAATGTCTGCATTTTGGACCATAACATTTAAGCATTGAGAGCTTGTACCATTTCATTTTAACACATTACACATGACTAATTTTCTATAAGGATTTTTTTCCTCACATCTTTGTAGCTGTGATGGTTATTGTAATTTCAACCTGATAACCTTGTGTTAAGGGTTTAAGAATTCAGCCTTTCGGGGTGGGGGGGTTGGTCTTACAGGCCTGCCTCTGGAGTTGGGGAAAAAATTATTAAGGGTCACAAAACTCCTAGAATTCTAAGAATGGCTAAAGCATATGTGCTGACGACCATGTTTAAGCAGTAATTTTCTGAAATTTTAAGGCTTTTTCTTAATTTGTATTTGCTTGTGGGTATCTAAAAGCCATTTACGATGAAAGCTCAGAACATCCTGGCTTTGCATCCCAGTATGCCTCTGTTGGGTCACCTGGGGAAAGTGACGCGCTGCCTATCACCAGCAGGCAGCTTCCGGTGTGCCACCCACTTTAAGAGTATGTATTTCAGGTGCAGAGGCAGAGACCTAGTAATTTTACGGGCTGCATTTCTGACAAGGAAACTTGAACAGAATAATTACACAATAGTTCCAAAGCCTTCAGGTTGGTTTTACAGTGACCGAAACCTTAATACTCAAGTTTAATTTCAAGAGATAGAATTTGTATGGGGAATTTTCTTGGAATTTGGCATCCAAGTTCCAAGTGTGCGTAAATTGGCACCTGACAGAACTCCCCCATAGTTTGTTCTTAAGACCACATAAGTGATGCAACATTAGATATCCATCACCTTATTGAAAGCATTTAGAAATACAGTGATTCATACAGTGCTGCCGTATGATAATCCCTTGTCGTTTTTCTTCTCTAAGAAGAGGAAAATACAGATACAAAGCCAAAATCCTTCTTGAAAGCTCAATAACACGATTAATTTTTAAATGCTTTAAAAGCAGTTTACGTTTCAGTTTATCAGCGGTGTGTAGCCACACCGCCGGCTGTCCTGTAGGCAGTTTACAGCAAGATACCAACACACAGTGCTTGCTGCTTTTGTGTCACGTGCTGCTTTGAGGTTAAAACCTGCCCTGAATGTCTGTGTATATCTGGTGTAAAGGCTGCCACGTGATCGTGACAGATAACATGCCCATAACATCAGCTAAATACATGCAGATTTAAAAATGGAAAGCATACCTCTCTATAATTAGAGACCTAGTCTGTTACAGTAAAAGCAGAAGCTAAGTCTTTATCTTTACTAAACAATTAAGAACAGCAGGGGCTTGAACCTGTACACACCAGAGGCCACCCATCCGTTTGTAGTGGTAGCAGTTCGGTGTCCTATCTCCATGCCTCATTTGGCTTCACCATCTAGTGTCTTGTTCGTATTGTAAGTGTTAGTGTGTGGTTATTATGTTAGAGCTGTTTTCTTTCACATCGCCGTGGCAGCCCTTCTCACAGACTCCTGTTTTATAGATCTATGTAAGAGCACAATTTGAATATGATCCAGCAAAGGATGACCTCATCCCCTGCAAAGAAGCTGGCATTCGATTCAGAGTTGGTGACATTATCCAGATTATTAGTAAGGATGATCACAACTGGTGGCAGGGTAAACTGGAAAACTCCAAAAATGGAACCGCAGGTCTCATTCCTTCTCCGGAACTTCAGGAATGGTATGTTTTTGTTGTTCTGTTTTGTTTTACAATAAAAACAACGCCCCGACCATCCGTTTGTCAACCTGCTACTGTTTTATGGTGTAAAACCTGCTTGTTCCGCTAGCCAAACAAAGTTCAGATTAGTCATCCAAGAGCTCTAAATCCTCAGCATCTAGCAAATTCCTGCTTGGAGTCAGGTCTTGGTTTTACATAAAAGGAGAGGAAAGTCTAGAGGGAGGGAGGCTGAGTGGCTAGCCTCGGGTCGCAGGTCGCAGTCCCCTCCTGGTCCCTTAGCAGAGCCCCCCCATTCCCACATGCTGCGTCTGTCCTTTTAGAACTGCAATTTGTTTTGTTTTAAAGATTTTATTTGAGACAGAGTGAGAGAGAGAGAGCACAAGCAGGGGGGAGCTGCAGAGGGAGAGGGAGAAGCAGGCTTCCCACTGAGCAGGGAGCCCAGTGCGGGACTCGATCCCAGGACTCTGGGATCATGACCTGAGCTGAAGGCAGAGGCTTAACCCACTGAGCCTCCCAGGCACCCCTTCAATGCCACTTTTAACTGAGAGGAAAGGAGTCCCAGATTACTGTATATTTTAGTAAAATCTATTTCTGCCATTGTTACTGTTCGTTTACTTGAGCTATGTTTTGAAAGATGCTGGTGATTTTGCCTCCGTCAGTACTTTAGCAATAGATGACAAATCTAGCAAAGAGATGACTTTCTATCTGAGTTTTGTTTCACGTGACCAAAAATAGCCACCATTAGGCATTGGGGCAGTTTGTCCCCAAATCCTGGAAGCTAGCTAAAAGACCCCAGAGGTACCCGAGTCCACAGACACTGAGAACTGTTTTCTCACTAAAGAGATTTCTCAATTTCCTTTGCGTGATTGCCTCCGTCACTATCCCATGTTTCCAGAAATATTCTTACGTTTAGATGTCAGAGTGGATAAGAATTTCAGGTGCCATCGTTTTCCAAGGGGACTCGCAGGCGCCTCCAGAGGAAGCGAGAGGCAGCCTTCCAACTCGCGGCCCCACCTTCAAGGGACAGTCCAAGCTTTGGCAGGACGGAAGTGATTTCTGAGTCACCTTCATGATGATGTTATTATGTCATTAGTGACATTTACGTCTTACAAAATGTGGTCTAGCCTCCTGCCATATGAACATGTTTTTTTAAAAGACTTATGTGGATTCCAGACCTCTTCTCCCTAGTCAGATCATGTGTAGAAATCCTGTTTCATGGACACCTAGAACTCCCGACTCCTCTGGAAGAATGCTGAGAAATGGCAGTGGAAAAGCAGATTTGCTCCCTATCTCCTGTCATGGGGACTAGGTTATCTGAATCAATCCTCCTGCTGAAAAAAAAAAAAGAAAGAAAGCAAAGTGCTGCAGAAAGTATGTTTTTGAAAATTACCTTAAAAGCACTGAGTAGCCAAAAAGGCATCGGGCAACTCAGTGACGAGCTTTTATATGAAAGCCATTAATCACAGTGATAGAAAATAGAGCAGTGAATTGGCCCATATTGCCAAGAGGACACGTCTGTTACTGAAAACTTTTCTGCCAGAGAACCAAGGTTAAGACCTAACGCCTGTACAAGCAGGGGGTCTGTTAGGAGACCTGCTCCCCCATTGTCAGGCCCGCAGAGGCTCTGCCCTCAGGTTAAAAGCAAGCAGAGAAGTGTGCCCTTGCTGCCCTCCAACATCTGGGGGCTGGAGAGAAGGCTGCCTTGTCACTGAGCAAAGCCGAAGACACAAATAAAAGGAAAACAAAGTTTCCCTGGAAAAGTCGTGGCCGCTAGTCCACCTTGAATAGCTCTGTGCCCAGACATCGCTGGGGACGGCCGGGGGTTTCCAACCTTACACTCGATTTGAGGCCTCTTTTTTTACAAATAGTAGTTCCCTATATCTGTTACGGACAAAAAGAAAGTCTCTGGTAGAGAACACTTAATGCTAGGCCTCATCCTAGAGCCCTTCCTCACCACCACCACCCCCAACATAAACTTTTACTAGGGCAGTGACCAACAAGTCAGAAAAAAACAAAAAAAAACCCACAGTCGCAGAAGAAAACAATTAGGACCAGCCTACCAGACTCAACAGAGGCCCTGCTGAAATGACAGGCAGCAGAAACAAAGCCAGTCCCACGTGATGCAGGAGAATCAGAAGGCAGGGTTTTTAAACAACTGTGCCTATGTTTTAAAATCAGTAATCTTGAAAAATATCTTTAAAGAGCAGGGAAACTGTTAACGGCATGGCAGATTTGAAGAAGAACCAGAAGGAACTGCCAAGGACAAAACACGTAGTAACCAAACCTCAGTGGCCACACACCTTTTAGAAAGGCTAAAATTTTTCAAAAGTTTTCACCAACAGGTAAACAGATGAACAAATGATGGAGTGAACTACTGACACCCACAATATGGATAGGACTCAAAATCATTCTTCTGAGTTTCCAGGCAGAAAAGAGAGAGAGAAAAAATATACTGCATGATTCTATTTATATGAAATTCCAGAAAACTATACTGACATCAGTTGGCCTGGGGATCCAGAGGAGAGAGGGAAGAATGTACACAAACAGCAGAAGTGATGAAGCTGTACACTTCAAACATGTTCAGCTTATTATGAAAAAAACTCAGTAAAGGTACAAAAACTGAAGAGGGAGAAAGGGATTCTAGCTGGGCTGATGAGGAAGGGCCCCACTGGGCACCATGTGCCTTGAGGCCTGAGTCAGACACTGGAGGTAGAAGAAGGCATTCCCAGCAGTGAGAAAGACTTGAAACAATACTATCAGCCAGACCCAGAATCTTGGTTCATGGGTGTCCTACCAAGTGACATTTTTCACATCCCGTCAATGAGAAATCAGTCGTTGGTGGACCCAGATGCCTTCTTTATGCTTGTTAAATTTCATCGTGCTTGATGAGGCACACCAGTTAAGTCCTTTGATATATTTTGAGTCCCTGAATGTGTCATCCCTCCCCTTGTCTACCAGACCCTCGTCCAAGTGAGCAATAAAAATGGTAAGCGTGTGTTTGAAATTTCCCTCCAGGTTGACCTAAATCCTACCACAGTTTTCCTGCACTTACTGAGCTAAAAGAAATAGCAGTCATTTCCTGAGTGGCTGGTGAAGACCGGTTTCGTTCCTCTGTCACTGCATCCCATATAGCCACACCACAGATTTTTACTGGGAACTTTTTACTTTTATTCCTTAAGCTTAAAAACACGGGATGTAAGATAGTCTATAGACTGTACCATGAGCTTTACGGAGTCAGGATTTTGTCTCTTTTAACCTGTCAAAAAGTCCTCAGTTTTGTTTATGCTTCCAAAGATCCTGTGCCTCACAGAAGCCGTAGTTATGGCTACAGCACGGATTGGCTTGTGCTGGAAGAATCCCCAAAGCGAAGGCTTCATCAGTCTCCTCTGTGTGCCACTTAGGTAATATGCAAAGACTGACTATGATGCTGTTGCTGAGCGTTCACAGTATTTCCCAATAAATGTTCTCCTCCTAACCAAAAAATAAAAGAATACAAAAAAAAAACCTCAATGAACAAGAGAAAATAAGAGACTTGAAGGAGAAAGAACCGTTCTCAACTCATTTCGTGATACCAGCATTACCCTGATACCAAAATTCACAAAAGGCAATTCAAGAAAACTACAGACGAGGCTTCCTCATGAACACAGATGTAGAAGTCCTCAGCAAAATATTAGCAAACTGAATCCAGCAATATATAACAAGGATAATACATCTTGACCCAGTGGAGTCTGTACTGGGAATGTACAGCTAGTTCAACATTTGAAAACCAATCAAGCCAATCCACTGCATTAATGGACTAAAGAAAATCCACATGGTTCTATCTGTAGATGCTGGGAAAGCACTTGGTAGAATTTAAAATCCACTCATGATTAAAACCCTCACAAATGAAGGGACTTCCTTAACCTAATTGAGAGCATCTACAATAAACCTACAGCAAACACTACTGGAAAGGAAAAAAAAAATTCTGCTGGTGATATATTTCTGTGTGTAGAAATTCAAAGGAATCTATAGATAAACCATTAGAATTAATATGAAAGTTCAGCAAGATGGTTGGTATAAAATCAATATACAAAAATCAATTTCTATTTACCAGCAAGAAAAGAGAAAATAAAAAAAAAATTTAAAGATTTATTTATTCATTTAAGAGAGAAAGCACTTGCATGCACAAGCAAGGGGAGAGGGAGAAGCAGGGAGCCTGACATGGGACTCGATCCCAGGACCCCAAGATCATGACCTGAGCAGAAATCGTGAGTTGGACATTCAACCTACCAAGCAACCCAGGTGCCCTGAGAAAATAGAAATTTTTTTACATTCCATACATAACACCACCTGTATCACCTGTAAAGTATCTTGAAAAAAAAAAAGTTAAATTTGACGAGACCTCTAGATCTAACTATTTGGAGGAAATGCAAAAGATGGGGTCTTACTAAAGACACCACAGGGATGAAATCAGAAAAATCCAGAATTGGAAACTATAGGACAACCAACCCATTTTTACAGCAAATAAATTATGAGAAGGAAAAGGAGAGAGGGAACCTATAGATTTAAGAGAAACTTAAGAATATTTAAGGAGGGAATGATATAAACTTGGATTTGTTTCAGAATAATCTAGGGTGGATAAGTTGTAAATAGTACAAGCCAGGAGTTAGTAAATGTTCAAGCTGGGTTGTAGGTATTTGAGGTTCATTACTTTCTACTCTTGTGTATGTTTGAAAATTTTTAAAATTACGAAAAATTTTTTAAACACCATTTGTATAACCTCTTTTTTTAATCAACAAGCTAGGAGCAAATCTAACAAAGATGTTCAAGACAGAGGAAAAATGTTAACATTTATTGTGACATTAAAGAATACATAAAGAAATGGAGATATACTGTATTCATGGACTGGAAGACTCAGTGTTGTAAAGATGTCTCCCTCCCAGATTGATTCATAGATTCCATGCAATCTTGATTGTTTTTGAAATTGACAAGCTAATTTTAAAGTTTTCATGGAAATGCACAGAATCAGGAATAGCCAAGATGTTCTTCTAGAAGAATAAGGAGGGATGCCTTGCTCCACCAAATACTAATACTTACCATAAAGCTGTAGTCATTAAGAAAATAAGATATGGGGGCACCTGGGTGGCTCAGTGGGTTAAGCCTCTGCCTTCGGCTCAGGTCATGATCTCAGGGGCCTGGGATCGAGCCCCATGTCAGGCTCTCTGCTCAGCGGGGAGCCTGCTTCCCCTTCTCTCTCTGCCTGCTGCTCTGCCTACTTCTGATCTCTCTCTGTCAAATAAATAAGATCTTTAAAAAAAAAAAAGAAAAGAAAATAAGATATGGGCATAGAGATGTTCAAGTAGACCAATTGAAGAGAATCCCAAAACACTCCCATACATAAATAATCACCAGTGAGGAATGGATAGTCTTTTCCGTAAGTCATGCTGGAACAATTGAGTATCCATTTGGGAAAAAGACAAGAAAGAAATTGGGCCCCTAATTTCATACCATATACAAAAATCAGTTCTAGCATATTAAAGGCCAAAATATGAAAGCCCAAACTATAAACACTTGAGAAAGTAATATTGAAGAATGTCTTCAGGAACAAGGAAGGATTTCTTAACATACCAAAAAAAAAAGGAAAGATGGCTAAATTTGACTTAAACTAAGTTATATTCATCAAAAGATACCATAGGAAGAGTAAACAAGCAAACCACAAAATGGAAGAAGGCATTTGCCACACATATAACCCCCAGGGGTATAATATCCAGACCACATAGAGAATTCCAACAAATCAATGAGAAAAAGACAACTAGAAAAGGAAAATGGCCAAAAGACTTAAACACTGTACAGAAGAAGAAATCCAATAAACCTGTGAAAAGGTTCTTAATCTCATTAATAATCCGTGACATGCAAACTCAAAGCACAGCCTGATTCCATTACTTGCCCACTGTGGTGGCTAAAATTAAAGACTGATACTACCAAGAGTTGACAAAGAAGCGGAATAGCAGGTACTCTCACATACTGCCGGTGGGGGTGTAAATCTGTACAACCTCATTGGAAAATCGCTTGTCATTCTGATAGTGATTTTGGATTCTCCTTGTATGTGGCTCACTCAGGGACCCCTGGTTGGCCCACAAGCAAAATCATTAAGCAAAAACCACCTGTAGCAATATCCCGGAAGACAAATATTTTCTTAAATTAAACCTAAGGGGAGGAACTTTTTAATAACATTTTTGCTGAATACTCTAATCACATAGGAGAAAATTAAAATTCTCTGATTATAATTCTGTGGATTTAATTCATGTTTTTCCCTAGACTAGAATTGCCGTGTAGTTATAGGAATGTTTATTAAGCATCTACCTTGCCTACCACTGTGCTGGGGACATTATTTACATTTTTTTGTTCTAATCCTTTGTGACAGCCATCCAAGAAGCTATGAAAACTTGCCAACAAAATGTCCTGGCCAAGTGTATGGGCTCTGTTGTCAGACCGACCTCACTCTCCCACCTAAGCTGTGTGATTTGGAGCAAATTACTGAACCTCTCAGTCCTTTGATCCCCTCATCTGTAAAGTGGTGACACGATTTCATGTGTTGTTAAAAAGATCAAAGAGTTAATACATGTATGTTTCCTAGGAAAGCACCTAACACTAAATTGGCCCAAGGTCATGAGTGATAGAGCCAGGAGTCTAACCAGACTGTCTGAGCTCAAAATCCCACACTCTTTACACCTCGTGCCACGGCCGTGAGTTTAGGTTGCTGGCTGTGTTATCAGTTAGCAGGTGCCCCAGGAATGCGATGTCATTTTATTATAAGCCTGTGTTTTTAAAACATCTCCAGAAAATTGTTGTGAAAACCAAAGAGCAAGCTTTACCTTGAAAGGTCTGTGAGGAGTATGTTCATGCAGGCTTATAGCAAGTCCTCAAATGAATGATTTTTGTCAGTATACAACTTTACAGGAGATTCTCTCTCTTTCTCTCTCTCTCTCTCCCTCTCTGCTAGGCGAGTCGCTTGCATCGCCATGGAGAAAACCAAACAGGAGCAGCAGGCCAGCTGTACTTGGTTCGGCAAGAAGAAGAAGCAGTACAAAGATAAATACTTGGCAAAGCACAACGCAGGTAGGGAAACATACGAGTGTGGCTAGGCCGAGTGAACCTGGCAAAGACAGAGGTAGAGCTCACATCTCAGTTCGGTCTTCTGAGTCCTCACCCAAAAATCCCACCCGACGAGGTCCTCATCAGCCTGCCAAACTGCACGAAACCCTTACCTGCAACTCTGATGTCAGTCATTTGCCAGCTCTTTGACAGAGCTCTGCTTCATAGGAAGACAGTGCTATTTGGAAATAGTCTTCTCCGGAACTAAAAGGACCCAGTATGTTCAGTCCTCCCCTGAGAAATGAGAGCTTGAGGGTTTGTGGAGTCACCAGGACCCTTGCCTCCTTGCTGAGAGTGATCTTGAGCTAATATCCCTCCCTCCTGCCTCCTCCCTAGCCCTTGGACACGGCCCTGTGGCACATTGCTAAGGGCAGAGGGACGCTCTTCACAGAGCCGTGCCGCAAAGGGCCCGGCGACTGGGCCGAAGGAACACAGATGCCGTTGGATACCAAAGGCATTTGGTCGGTTCCTGTGACTAGTTGTCTTCCCCCTACCCCGCCAGTTATTTCCTGGCTCCTAAAAGACCAAGAGCACAGTCTCGGCCCTCCCTTCACGCCGTTTGTCTATATGAAAACTTGCGTTCAACCCAAGTCAAAATATTCACTTGTAATGCCAAAAAAGCATGGTCCGTCCTTGCCGTAGAATTCCCAGAAGACTCACAGGATGTAAGTTAAGCTAAAGGAAGTGCATGCTGATACAGAGGCTGGGATTGACTTCTTTTCAGTAACTTCTCAGTAGGACCCCTTTTTATAAGGGACTTGTTCTGAGGAATTGCAAGCCCCAATATTGGCATTAGATTAGTTCCCAAGGTTTCAGAAATGACTCCAAAAACCAGACATGTGACCAAAAAAAAAAATCGAATGAATGCAGTCATGCATACCCAATTTGACAGTATAATGTTTCTGACAAATATAAAACACACTTCTGTCTGTAGAATGTTAGAACACGTCATTAGCATCCACCAGGGAAAATTATTTACAAACTCTGAATTGTTCATTTCTTTTTTTTTAAGATTTTATTTATTTGATGGACAGAGAACCCAGGTAGGCAGAGAGGCAGGCAGTGGGGGGTGGGGGGGAAGCAGGCTCCCCACTGAGCAGAGTGCCGGATGCGGGGCTCGATCCCAGGACCGTGAGATCACGACCTGAGGCAAAGGCAGAGGCTTAACCCACTGAGCCACCCAGGTGCCCCTGAATTGTTCATTTCTTAATCAGCAAGTGAAAGTATGCATTTTGAAATACTGCATCACGTGGGATGAGTGTGAGTGGCCACAGGGGTTCATTTCAAATGGTTCAGCTAAATGATGAGTCGTTCCCTTCATGTCAGCCACACTCTACCCCATTTTTAATTCCAATAAAATATATCCTTTCTGATTCGTTACCACCACAGAGTACTAGTCTGATGATGGCTTATTTTTTTGTTTTGTTTTATAAAAGGAAGAAATATTTAAGGCAGATTAAACATAATTTAGTGACTGTTAATTGTAAATGCTCAAGTAGTACTTTCTGAAGACGTTCACTGTAATGTCAGCAGAATGTCGTTTAACACCAAATGTCAGTGGTTCCTGCCAACTCATCTTCATTTCCATCAGCTTCTAACAGGCTCACAAGATGTGTTGACATTTTATATATATATATGCATATATATATATATATATACATATATATAAAACCTTATCATTTTTATAATTTTAAATGCTGTATAGCTATAGCTGGCATTATCATTTGAACCTAGAAAGCAAAGCAGATTGGTGGCTGACTAAGGTTGTTAATCCATCACTAGCTTGATACTCTTCTAATGGAGGGTATGTAGACATAAGTATTTAACTGGCCAATATTCTTTAATTCAGCTGTGAGGGAAAATAAGAAGCCAGTTGATTAAAAAACTAGAATCTCTCCATTCTGACAAACCGTTGACACGTTCACTCAAGGATTTTGTCAGAAAATCAGCACCCCCCACCCCCACCCCAAATCAAGCCTCATGAGCTCTCCTATTGGTGTTTCTGCTCGGGAGAAGGTGTCCAGCTTTTTTCTTGGATTTTCTGAAGCATGCTGCCTGGCAAGGCCTTTCTCTTGCCACCTTTTTAGTCTCCTTCCCCTTCATTGACCAACCCTTCCATTTTGTTCATGACAAAGTCCAGAAGAACCATTCACTTAGTGGGCACCTTTAGTTGACAAGAGATGAAGTCGTCAGGAAAGAGAAGTCAGGTATTTTATCAGCTCTTCTGCTTCGAGCCATGATGGAAGGCCATCCGAATGCACGGCGTGGCCTATATAAGGGACCGACGCGAAAGAGAGAAACAGATACTACCGAACTCTGTCAGTATGGCGGGTGCTATGAGAACTTTCAAAGTTCATCATATTCTTTAATGCCCAAAACTAGCCAGATGGGCTCCTGGGCCACAAATCAAACTATATTTCTGAAGGATCTTTCTGGCTTTTTCAGAAGTTGATTGTCCAGTACAGGGCGGGGGGGTTGGATCTTCCCACAGTCCTCAGTGAATCCAAATAAGGGCTGTATGTCTTGGTTCCTGCTTCAGATCTTTGGTAATTCAGCATATATTGATGGCAAGATCCAAATCTTCTCATCAAATTGTGAGGCTGTTTACATTTGTAGTGAAAATGAAAGATGGGAACTTTGTCAATATCTAGAACTGGTAGGAACGATGATACTAGAATTGTTCCCATTTCTGTCACCGGGACAGTCCCCATGTGTAGCTAAAGCAGAATTCTGTTCAAGCTGTGTCGCCTACATCTCACATTATAAAATGCCAGTCTATCAGCTAGATATGACCAATAATTAGTTTTGTTTTCCCCCACACATGGCATTTGAAAGAATTAAAACCAGATACCACATTTGAAAATCAGATATTTAACATAAAAATCTGGGTTTCTGCCTTGCCTTGAAAGAAAATAGAAATGTGGCGACACTAGGCCCCCTTTCACTTGTAGCACCACTGTGTTGTTGATGTCCCTTTCGGCTGGACACTCGTTCCCTAGGACCCAGCGTCCCTCTACTCTGTTCATGAACCCAGCCCATGCACCCAAACATGACCACGGCCCAGGAGCTGCAGGCCGTTGAGTGCACGCCCAGCCCTGAATTACCAGTGTGCCAGGCCTTTCCTAATGGGAGATTTTTACAATATTTAAATATACTTAATAGTTTTTCCAAATGAGACAAGGAATCGATACTAAAGGCTTATTTATGGAATAGATTCAACTAGAAAATACTTACCTAAACACGTAAAAGTGTCATGAATATTGAGTAGCTTACCAGGAAATGAGGATAATATGAGCAAACTATGCCAGCAAGTATTTCTGAAGCCTTGGGAATAGATTGATTATGGTGTGTGTAGTGTTTACAGCAAATACATTTTCTGCAACACGTAAAAGATGTTTAGCCACATAAATTTGATGCAAAAAGCATTGTCAGGCTGCTAGAACTATACTCTTGAGGCATTGAGATTCCTCAGCCCTAGGACTTCCAAAATCAGTTTCAAGATCAAGTTGCTAACATAAACTTGAGGGGAAAAACAGTCTTCATTCATTTTTTTAAACTGTTAGAGCCCTGAGCAGTAGTATTTCAATATCCTGAGATAGTCCATTTACATATGTACACATGAACCCAGACGGTTTCTACAGTACCATTCATAGGCATGCTTAAATGATGCGTAATACCACAAATTAGTAGTTGAGTAGTTTTTTAAAAATCTATTACTTTTTTCTCTTCAATACAGAGAACTCTTAAGACAGCAAAGAGTGGCCCATCATCTCACTGCCCTGTTGGCTTTTTTTTTTTTTAATAAAGTAATAGGCACCTGTGATTTGAAATTGCAAACAGTACAGGAAGGTACAAACTGAAAAACAAAAGGCTTCCATACCTACACTCCTTGAGGAAGGTGTCTCGTAACTATTCCCAGACCAGATTTCCGTGCATGTTGCTAGTAAATAAAAACCTACTGGCTCTTATTTAAGGATATTGTTGGATTTTTATTAAAATGAGTTTGTTTCTTAATGTGATTTGCCTCGTGTTTAGAATATTGCATGGTAAAGTTTCTTTTGTGCATATTATACTTTTATTTTACTAATATATTAAAAGCCATATTTCAATGACCCCTGTACATTTTTCATGCTGTCTTCCTCCCAATGGCCTCTGTGCATGTAAGTAACCTGTTGAGTGACTATGCCTCTTTGTTTTTGATGGTTTCCTTTCATTCAGTCCTTTAAAAAAAAAATCCGCAAACAACATAAAGCTTTTAAAAGTTCAGCCTTTAAGTGTTCTCCTTATATTCCTTGTATGTCTTATTTTTAAATACTCTTATTGTTTCTTGATCCTATGACCATGTGCTGATTTCATTTAGACCAGAGTAACCTCTTCATGCTGCTCGTTTATGGTAAAGATATCAATGTGTAACATACCTGTTCATTTGTCCATGGTGTCGATCATTGATCTCTAACTCATTCTCATGTGTGTTTAAAAAAAAAAAATGGCAAGTCGTAAGTGGGTAGGATGCCATTCCAAAAGCCTGTGCCATCATCATCTTGCTCTTTTGAGAGATGCTGGTTTATTTTTCTGTATTAGAATATATCAGCTTGTTGACGCACCTCTTTCATAAGCATCCTTTTTCTCGATGGAAACCTCACTCAGAGGGCAATGGGTATAAAAACCGATGCCATAAGCACTCCTGCTTTTCTTTTGACAACTCTTACACTCTGTGATCACCGTAGCATGATCAGCCAGCTCGAGCACGCACAGAACCTCGTGTTCGTTTTGATTTGGGGGGTTTTGCTATTCTAAACACAGAAAACATTTTTGGTTTTTAGCTGTTGCTACAGAATTAAAGACGTTGAGTAAACCTTTCTGGAATCAGGCTATCAAAAGGAAACAAAGGCACAGATACCCATTAACATGCACTAACCCTTATTTTAACACATGGTATTTCTTTTTATATATATACATAGTCTGGGAATGATACTTTTGTTCATTTGTTTGTCTCTGATCTGTTGCACTTGAGAGTATCCTATTTTGCAATTTAAGGTTCTTTGCTACTGGGAAGATCACAGATGTTGACTGAGCTGAGAGCCAAAAAAGCATTTGGCCATATTGTTTCAGGGAGAAGCTTCTCTTAGTGATTGACTGAAGCATCCCAGATCCCTTTATGGCACCATGGAATCAATCGTATTGAATTTATTTCAACCTCTCTGAAATCTAGAGCTTTATCGGGCCTTCTTTTAAAAAGATATTTCAGTGTGTGCCTGGCAACATTTGGATATTACCACAAGGAAAACTATTACAGGAAACATTGACTCGTGATTTTTAGCCTTCTTGTGAGAATTTTCAAATGGACTACCTTGAACTTCACCAGGAATGGTCATCCTCTTGGGAAGGTTTTTGTAACGGTTTTGTTAAGAGGCAGATTTCCAAAAACTATTTTTGGGAGCATTTCTTCTCAGTCTGTAATGATCAGAGAACTCTCCTTTTGCAAAGGTTTCCGAGCTCAGACTCTGCTTCATGCTTCTTTCCATTCTGTCCATCCTGACTTACTGCACACAGGCTGACAAAGTTCGGGACCCAGGGAAGCATGTTCCCCTACTTAAGATACCCAAGACTTTCCATCTAATGGATAGCTGGGTTACAGTAAAACTTACGGGATGCTCATTGCGAACGCTTGTGAAATCACAGTTTCAGCACTTGACTTTGAAAGACTCTAGCATGCTACCTTCGGCAACTCTGCTGAAAGAAAGAACCATAAACTCAAAGACCAGCTGTCCATGCGTCTCTCATCCATCCCTAGAGATAATCTAGTGGCCTCTTTCTTGGTTACCTTTAGTTGCATCATGCTATATTCATGTTGGTCGCTGTCTGCAGACTTTTTCTTTTTAGTATTGCTGGTTTCTTAGAATTGCAGAAATATGAACAGCATGTGGTTTTGAATGACTTCGTATGACTTGTTGGATACCGCATGACAAGATACGCAGTATCTCTTAGAATTTGGACTTTTATGCATGTGCTCAACATAATCTTTGGATGCCCCTGCTTCTAAAGTGCATTTTCATGGGCTTAAAAATGAATTTTCTCCTGGAAGGCTATAGGACTAAAATTATATGTAAGCTGCGGATAGAAGTTGGACTCAGAGTTTTTGAAGACACGGTTTTACTATAACGTTAGTTTACTGCCAGTATAATTATCATTGACGTACATGAAATACTCCTGTAAATTTACCTTTCTTCTAACTCTTTGCGTTTTAGTGTTTGATCAATTAGATCTTGTTACATATGAAGAAGTAGTAAAACTGCCAGCATTCAAAAGGAAAACACTAGTCTTATTAGGTAAGCTTGACTATACAAATGGCTTTCTTAGTCTTCTCTTCAAAACATTCTGCGAGTATTAACAATTGTCAATTTCACCTTCTTTTTAAAAAATTACATAGGTGCGCACGGTGTTGGGAGAAGACACATAAAAAACACCCTCATCACAAAGCACCCAGATCGGTTTGCGTACCCTATTCCACGTAAGCAATGTCTCTCTTTTAAGTTTATTTTTTCCTGGTACTTATTTGATATTGTAATTGACATACTGTTTTCCTTTACATACGTAATAACTGCTCATTATGGGAAGTTTGGAAGATCCAAAGCCAAACAAATCAAAAACTTAGTTAACAATAATCCCAACCCCATTCCCCCAGTAACGGCCCTATAAAACATTCTGCCGTAGACTCTCCCAAGTTTCTCTTAATGCGGGGGTAGGTCATGTGTGATTTGTTGTTGTTTAACAAAATGGGTTCCTCCATCCTGTTTATAACCTGATTTCCCCAGCAGAATGTCATGAACATGACTCAGATGAATTATTCTTCAGAAGAATGGATCTGAATGATAGGATACTTTTCTCTGATAGAACAATGCTCTCCTCAAATGTACCCAAGTTAATTTACTTTCATCCCTTTGAAAACCCAGTGTGTTATCAGTTGTTTATTATAAAGAATTTAAAATCTGTAACATTTTTATTCCCTTTATTTTCTCTGTCTTACTCATAACTTCTTGCCCTCTGTTTCCTCAACTATAAGATGAAGTAATTCCAGGAATGTATGGAGGGTCTGGGATCAGGAAACACCAGCAGATACTGGATATATAGAAGCTAAAACCAAGACTGGTTTTAGTCTTGTTATTCCAGAGTTTACCGTTGGAATCCCAAAAGCTTTCAGACAGGTAGAGTTTAGCTGGAGGTAAGGAGGAGTTGTAAGAGCAAAGAGAGAAAATGGGAAGATGGACTCCACCCAGTAGGGCCTTCCGATGCCTTCCAGAAGCCACATCAGCACCACTCGTGGGTTTCTCTACACCCCAGAGGGCCGTGAGGCTTCATAAGACAACACCCTCCCTCCAGAACACTGTCTGATTTACACACAAAAAGGAAATTCATCAGATACCATTTCACTTGTTCCCTCTGAGATTTTCTTCATAAGACACTCTGAATTGTTCCTTTAAATCTCCTTATGTGTAGATCTTGAGTAGAGCAAGCTTAACTAACATTTAGTTTCTTCTTGATCACATAACAATTGAACATTTGTGTTACTAAATGACCAGCTAGCGAGCTTGGTTTTGACGCATATCGTTGTCAACCTCAATTATGAAGTCCTTCTCTCAAATATTGGACCCCAGATGTGTACAGACCATATGTTTACCTCCCGAGATGACCAAGGATAGTACAGCATCAATATGCGATGCCATTTCTTCAGCTTTTCATGTGCCTGGAGAAAGAGTTCTTTAAAACCTGTGCATTTGGGTGTCCATGAGCACTTGTAAGTTCTAACGGTCTAATCAAGGCAGGAGGCGGGGGGGTGGAGGTCCCCGTGGGTCTGGATCCATGCACACAGCAAAGAGGAGCAATAATTTATTCTTGCTCAAGGAAGGAAGTTGAAAGAAAGGGAGGGGGAAGGTGAGGGAGGAAGGAAGGAAGGAAAGAAAAAGAGAAGGGGAAAAGAAGTGGGAGGAAGGAAGATTTAAACCAGTGTTCCTGGCTCAGCTAGAAAAACATTTTCTAAACTGTGCTTTGCAGAACACTGGTCCCATCAGCAACCCCCAGAACTAGGACTCACTGACCAATATTTAAGATACATCCCCTTAGGTCTATTTTCTGTAAAGGACTAGGTAGTAAATATTGGAGGCTTGAATGGCCATCTGGTCTCTGTCACAACTACTCCAGTCCGCCAGTGTCGCATGAAAGCAGCCATGGACAGCATGTAATTAAACAGGCATGGATGTTTTCCAGGAAAACTTTATTGACAAAAACAGGTCCTATTTGGCACACAGGCCATAGCTTGCCAACTCATGGTGTAGGTCTTTACTGACTACTGTAGCCACATCTGGCCAAGGCCATTGTATTCTCAACACAGTACACCTTTTTTTTTTTAAAGATTTTATTTATTTATGAGTGAGTGAGAGAGAAAGAGCGCGCGCACAGCCAGGTAGAGTGGCAGGCAGAGGGAGAAGCAGGCTCCCCACTGAGCAAGGAGCCCGATGCGGGACTTGATCCCAGGACCCTGGGATCATGACCTGAGCTGAAGGCAGGGTCTTAACCAACAAAGCCACCCAGGCATCCCCGCAGTACTCCTTTTGCTATATTCTAACCATCTCCTTTAGGAAGCTGCCGGAGACCGATGCTATCCAATAGAACTTACAGAACTTTCTCTGATAGTGACAGTTTTCAATAGCTGTTCTTTCCACTACGGCAGCCAGTAGCTACACTGAACCCTTGAAATGTGGCTAGTGAGACTGAGGAACTGACTTTTTTAATTTAATTTTATTTAAATTTAAATAACTGTATATGGTTTTCCATTTCTTCTTCTTTCCATTCTTTTTTCCTTCTGCTTAAGACCTAACTGCATTAAGGCATACCGTAAGGTATGTTCATCTTGGGTCATTCAGTGTCCTTCTCTCGTGGTGACCTGTAAAGGGATGAACTAAATCTCATCTAAACACCAAAAGATTCACCAAACTGAACAACTAACCAACTACTGTGGTCTGATGTCACACAGATAAATATGGTGTCGTGAATTGAGTTCTACAAAGCTCCTGGGGCTGGGAACAGGGCATGAGACATATACTAAAGAAGCCACAGCTTTTAGAAGAGCTGGGGCTTGGGCAGGTCCATAGAGAGCATCCGCTGATGAGCTCACTCTTTTAAGCCTTTCGGGATATGGGACTTTCTTTGCAGACACAACCAGACCTCCAAAGAAAGATGAAGAAAACGGAAAGAATTACTACTTTGTATCTCATGACCAAATGATGCAAGACATCTCGAATAACGAGTACCTGGAATATGGCAGCCACGAGGATGCGATGTACGGGACAAAACTGGAGACCATCCGGAAGATCCATGAGCAAGGGCTGATCGCCATCCTGGACGTGGAGCCACAGGTAAGGCACAGCCCCTTGCGGCCCCTGTCAACCTGCCCGCGGGCTCGGCCTAGGTTCTGAAATCAGAACGGCCCTTGGAAGGCCATGGGCCACCCGCTAACCTAATAAACTGCGGTACAGTGTCAGCAGCGCAGGCATGACGGGCTCACGGGCTCGAAGGCGCATGCGCTGTGTGGTTAAGCAGCAACAGGAAGCTCCTAGGAGATTCATTGACACTTGGAAGCTCCGTGGGAATACCCGACTGGGTACGAGCTAGAAGCCCCACACGGATGTGACCTCAGGGCGAGACTGGCCCTCGGTTATCCTAACAGCCACCTGTCCCCTCTCAGTACAGCTCACACCGGCCCATCTGAGCCGCTGCCAGCATCTTATGTGACTCAGCAGCAGGGATCCCGGGGCCTGGGTCTGGTGTGAAGCACAGCACCCGCTTTAGGGAGGCGAGCCCGAGCCAGCGGGGATTCAGACCCACACGGGTCCTCAGCCTCCGCCGTCTCTTTGGATGCCCAACCCCAGCCAAAAACTGGGAGGGGTGTGGAGAGCTTCGAGCACTCCGAGCCGGACACAGGAATGACTGGATGATCTGTAGGGAAGTCCTAAGCTCAAAGCAGTGGGAATTATTCAACTCAAAAAGGAGAAGCCACATCTCAAACATGTAAGAGAGGCAAACATGTAAAAAAAGGCCTTGCCTCAAAAATGCTGACAGGCTGGGGCGCCTGGTGGGCTCAGTCAGCAGAGCCTCCAACTCTTGATTTCAGAGTCGTGAGTTCAAGCTCCACACCAGGCATAGAGAGGACTTTAGAAAAATAGCTTGTCGGCTTTTTTTTTTTTTTAATCTCTGAGGACAAACTGAGCAGAAGGTGGACTTAAAGCCCAGGAGGAAAGATGTTGTAGACACCAGGTGAGTTACAGGAGAGGCTCATGGATGCCACTGTGACTCCTAGGCCCTGCCATTTCTAAGACTGGTCCGTGTCCCACACCCCTATCCCTCAGATAGAATCACCTGCCCAGACCTGCTCCCCTCAAGCAGGCCCCATTTTGCCAGGCCGCTGAGGAAATGTGTGGTGACTCTGCTGCCTATCCGAGGGCTACCAGACAAAATCTCAGTCTCGATGTGATGTGTCTTTTCATTTTTGAAAATATAATAGAGAAAAAAAATAAAGTAACATAGGCTAGAAATTGAAAATCAAAGCCCTGAAAAGGCTCCCATAACTGCTGTGATTGGCCTGTGGGTTGGCTCTGATGTTCCTGGAAGGCAGCACAGAGAGGGGAGGGTCCTGGATTTCCTGGAAGTACACCAGTTCTTCCCTTGGAATTAACTGGGAAGGGAATAGAACCAGGTTCCTGGACACAAGAGGCACCAGGCAGGGGACGAGCACAGTCTTCAGCGACCGCTGTGGGCAGGAAGCATGGAAAGACCTTCGCATCTGGATGGATGAAGGCCAAGGGCCCACGTGCCATGCAGAGAAGGGGAGCGTGGTTTCAGGGGTTGCAGCACGATAGGTTAGAACTTAAGACAGTCGAAGAATTGAATGGCAGGGAAGGCTGGAGGCACTGAGCAGAGAGAAGACCATTTCACACCTGGGGTGTCCTCCTCAATGTCACCCGGGGCGCCATTCAGCATCGACGCTGTGCGGACTTCCTGTGTGGCCCTCGGGGAGTCGGGACAGAAGCAAGGAGAGGAACCGTGCACTGGGAACTGGTCCCCGCCTAGCTGCCCGGAGGCTGGCTGTGGGTGGATGAGAAAACCTTCTGTCTCCACGGACCCTGTAGCCTCCTGACTAATGAGCACAGGAAGACAGGGCAGGGGTTGGGAGGGGAGGCCCAAAATAATATTGACAAAAAGGGTCTCTAAAGAAAGATTCCCCATAAGCTCAGGTGAGCTACAGATGTACTTTGTTTGCTCCTTGCTGAAGTCTTCAATCACAAAAGGGCTGACAAAGAAATTGCCAATTATCTCTGTCAAAAATGAGCATAGGTGGGCTTGACGAGCTTGCTCAGAGGGGAGTGTGACGTTCACAGTCGAAGCACTGTGATGTGACACGTGACACGACATGCCCAGCTCCCTTAGCCCGGAAGGAGCTCCTGGATCACTGAGATTCAGAAACCTAATCCCAGGGCATGTGAAGCTTGCACGAAAGCTTTATCATGCTGTCGGTCTCTCCCGAGCCTGTACATTCAGAGGCTCCCTTCAGCCACCAAGCACAGTGCCCTCCAGGCGAACATTTTCTGCCGATCATTCGTGCCGCTTTCACGTTTCCATTTCAGCATCAAGACCATTTAGGCAAGGTGCCATGGAGGACACGAGGGAGAAGACCTAACAGGACCCAGCCCTTGCCCTCAAGCTCACCGTCCAGTGCCAGGCGCTTGCATGTGTGGCGGGTACCTGGGGGGATGGGAGGGGTGCTGGACCTGGCTCGGAGCTCACGAAGGACTAAGACAAAAGAACACCAGTGCCATGTGCCAAGGGCTCCCTTAGCCAAGCCAAAAGGGAGAATGAGGACAGAGGGTCCAGGCAGAGGGAGTAGTAAGAAAAAGGCTGGGAAACCAGAGAGAGCGTGGCCCTTTCTGGAATTGGAAGTAGTTCAGCGAGGCCAGTCCATGGAGGGGAAGGGGCAGAGAGAGGTGGAGGAGGTGAGCATGGCCCAGCACAGGGGGCAGGGTGCTGGCTTTTGATGCTAAGGAGTGGACATTTTAGCCCCAGGCTGAGAGGGAGCCGTGGATGGGTTTGGAGCAGAGCAGGGAGATGGTGGGACTTGCCTCAAAAGAGCCGTCATTATAGCGGCGGGCTCTAGTACAGAGGCAGAGAGACCCAGCTGACGGCTGCCACAGTAAACCAGGCAGAAGAGGGAGGAATAGGAATATGGCAGAGCAAATGATGCAGATAACAGAATAGACACGTTACATGTCATCCCCCCCCGCCCCCCACCGGCCTCTGGTGCAGACAAGTCAAGGACACATCGGTGCCTTGTGAAGTGTGTGCCTACAGATGCTAGGGTTTTGTTCTGTGGAGGGGAGGCCACAACCACTGAGAGGCTCCCGTCCTGGGCCGGGGCCGGGGCCGGGGCCGGGGCCGGGGGTTGTAATCCCACATCAGAATGCGGTTTGCGGGCGTGGCGCACCGGCTTGGTGGTGTGTCCCTGCGCACCAGAGGCTCATGCCGTTCTGGGGGATTATGCCTGGGAAGGGAACTGAACTGGCCTCAGAGCTCCTGTAGTGGCTCTGGCCTCCAGCCCCCAATCAGGTCTCCTGGCCCCCGGGGGCCTCTCGGTGGGGGAACTCAGCAGGCATCAGGAGCAGGAACAAAGCCTGGCAGTGACCGAGGCCGGGATGTGCCGGCCCCGTTGGCAGTTAGAAGGTGAAGCTGTGCTGAAGCGGGCTGGAGATCAGGGGCACAGCCCACCTGCTGGGCCAAGGCCACCCCAAAGCGCATTTCCTCGCCATTCCCGAGGCAGGCTGCCATTCACAGCCAGGTTTAAATGAACATTAACCAGTGTAGTCGGTGTGGACTTTTCTGAAGAAAAGGAAGTCGGATCGATTCATAAGAAATGTTCGGTTTGTCACCTGTTACTTGCCGGTGGCTGTTGTCCGTCCTTCCGAAGGAAAGGAGTAGGGGGAGTTTCGGAGACAGCTGGTCAGTGTGCGCCCGCCGCGCCAAAAGTGTGCGTCCCGGGCTCGCTGTGGGATTTCGTGCAGACACGCGTGACAGCCGCACCCTTAGCTCTTGGCTCTGAGTGTCCCGTGTGTTTCTTCCGCAGGCGCTGAAGGTCCTGAGAACCGCCGAGTTCGCGCCTTTCGTTGTTTTCATCGCCGCGCCCACCATCACTCCGGGGCTAAACGAGGTAAGGCTCTCTGCGTGGCGGCAGCCAGGCGCTAGGACCCGCGGGCCCGCCGAAGGGGTGGAGGCCAGGCCGGGCCCACTCGCCCCCTGCGGGCGCTGGGCAGGAGGGCCTGGCTCTAGGTCCCAGAGCGCTCAGCGGGGACAGAGCTCTAAAGAAGCCAGGACCTTGGCCCGAGGGAGCTTCTGGGGTGGGAACCACTCAGGTCCCTGGAGACAACCCCACCTGGAAATGAGCCCTGTCGGCTCTGGGGCCAGCTCAGTGGCCCAGAGACGGGGGTGGGGGTTGTTGCTCCAGAGCGGGCGTCACCTTCCAGCACTGGGCTGAGCCCGAGGGCCTCCGTGGCCACACGGATGCTGTGGGCGATTGGGTGTGTCCGGTGGGTGCGGCGGGGCCCAGCTGCCGCAGGTGCGCTCTGAAGGCTCCCGCACGGGGTCACCCGGTGCTCGGCGGGGCCCACACGCCAGCAGAGGGCTCTTGGCTCTGCTCGGTGAGGACCCATCTAAACCGCCCCCAGCTAGTGACCGTACAGTCAAGGCTGGGAAACTGCACCTTGTGTGTCTGGAAGAGTCCGTCTTCACACGGCCGGGTTACTCATCTTTTCAGTCGTCCCTTTGGGTCCTATCATTTGCAAAAGGTGTATTCCTTTGGGAGCTCTGCTGCGGGGTCTCCGGTAGTACCCCAGCATGCCCAAAGCCCCGCCGGGTGCTGAGCGCTTTTCCTTCGGGTGCCATGTATTTTTCTTGAATTATCATCTTTACTTTTTGTTTGTTTTTGCCTATTTTCCTGCCCTTTTACTAATTTTCCATAGCTGCCAAAATGGTGCAGAAAATTGCCCGTAAGTACCAGCTAGGAGGTGATGAAATGCAGCCTCGTTTTCTTTCCTAGATTTAGAATGTAGACCCTTTCTTCCCATAAATCCTGCCTTTTGCTGTTAGACTAGAGGCATTTTGTTTTCACTGAGTTGAACCCTGCTCGTGCGTGAGGCAAGCCCGCGGACCAGCTGTTGCCGAGGAGGAAACCCACAAATAGAGCTTCATCTTATGGGGTCCTTAAGAGGAAAGCTTTTTCTTGCGTAAAGAGAGCTCCATTTAAAAACGGATGCCGGCAGCTGTACATTTTCTTGAACGTGTTGGTCAGCCTGGCTCTCGGAGCAAATCGTAAACTCCGCTAGTGGTTTCTGAAGCCCAGACGATGTTTCCGTGGAGTCCTCCAGACCGGAGAGTGATGTGCTGAGAACCGCTATCTTCTCGGCTGGGCAGGAAGCACTCCTGACCTCAGGCAAAGGAGTGTTTCCCAAAACGGGGCTTTCGCAGTGTTTCTCGCAAAGTGAAGCAGCTTTTTAGGCGCCAGTGGAAAGTATGTTGATAGGACCTTAGCAGGTGGTGATTAACTGAGGTCTTATCTACACGGAGCCATTAACAGCCAACATCCAAGCACACCATGCCCCCCGCTTTGAAATCCCAGTAGACAGCGACAAAACATGGAGGACTCTCCTCTCAGAGCGTCCTGATAGAGCAGACAGCGTCCCCGGCCTCCCTGCTGTCCGCTCATCCCCACCGCGGTGCCACAGTGGGATCGAATGACCTCATTTTCTATCCCCCTCCGGAGAGTCACACCCATAGACCAGGGCTCTTCAGGAAGGGTTTCTCACAAATAATGGATGGGCCTCAGTGAAGAGGAAGGGTCCTAAGTCAGCTGCGGGCACCACGGCTCCCAAGTTCCTGAAGGCACTGCTTCCTTTAGTTTTCTGGGAGCGCATCGGTGTCACCACGGGCCTCTGTTTCCTCGTGGTGTAGCTTTCCGTCTTGATGGCTTTAACGCTCCTCAAACCGTGTCGTGGCCAGTGTTAGCCAAGTGCTTGTTCTTTTAAGGAACATCTAGTCATTTAGTAAGCACTTACTGTGTACACGCCACAATGCCAAGTGCTGGGCACAGCGATGACGGCCCACATGACAAGCTGCCGCTCTAATTGGGGGAGAGACGCTAAGCAGACAAGAAGGTACGAATCCTATCTCCATCTGTGTAAGATTCACCCTGACAGCTTACCTGCCTGGTGCGGGGGGAGAAGGGGGACGCTTTGACTTCGAGCTCCCTGGTCAGATTTGAAGAAGTCCCTTGCGAGTTTGGCATAACAGTATCCAGCCCGTTAACACTCGGAGGCGAACTTTCTGGTGGCCCATGAGGGATCCCAGTCTTGAAAGATCTGCCATCCTGAGGCTAAATTGAGACTCATGTGACAAATGAGGGACCCCGCAGGGCCACCTCTGGCGGGCTCACCCTGAGGAGGGTGCTCCAAATCCGCAGCAGGCTGCAGAAGCAGAGGAAAGGCCTTTCCTGCAGCAGAGCCCCCCAGAACTCGGTGGCTGCTTTTCCTGTAGTTTTCCTCAGAGGTTTGGGTCCTTCTGCCCTGCGCCCCGTGTCCAGCCATCTCCAGTGTAGAACACCAGGAGGGGGTTCCTCAGATGCTGGTTGCCGTGGTAGCTGAGAAATGGCCTCATTTCATCCATTATTTGTAACATCCCAAAAGCTCTTGCCTCGGGCATCCGCTGCTGTTGAGTGCGGGGGCCATTAGACGTAATTGAATTCCTGGAACACATTGGACCTCAAAGTAGAAAAGGGGAAAATACAACTTAATTTGTTGGCCAGAGGCAGTGGCTTCTTGGGGCAAACCAGCGGGGTGCTGGGGGTGGGGGCAGGGTGTCATGTGTGCCCAAGAGGGCCAGGTCTCTCTGGTCCTGGGCCGGGGGAGCGGGGCGCAGGGATGGCATGGAGCTCCTGTTGCAGGGGGAGCCTGCGGGCTTGCAGGCCATTCCTCCATAACCCTGCCGGCCCGGGGCCGCTGTCGCCTCGGTCACGAAGCGGACTTGGCCTCGTGCCCAGATGCGGCACATCAGGGTCTGGCCTTGACTGTGTCTGCCCCTGGGAAGTGCAGAAATGCAGAAAGAGAAAGAATCCAGCTGACTTCTGTCTCCTCTTTGCTCCTCCCTTCCCCATCCCACCCTCCATCCCCTCACCCTTCAGGATGAATCTCTCCAGCGCCTGCAGAAGGAGTCCGATATCCTACAGAGAACATACGCGCACTACTTCGATCTCACAATTATCAACAATGAAATTGATGAGACAATCAGACATCTGGAGGAAGCCGTTGAGCTCGTGTGCACAGCCCCGCAATGGGTCCCGGTCTCCTGGGTCTATTAGGCCTCTCCCCAGATATCTGACGCCTGCCCGGGAGCCACCTCATCCTTGGAAAAGCCTCTTTGTTATCGGCCTTGTGTCAGCAGGTCATGGTCCCTAGAGACTACCTAGTTGTAGTGTGACCTCCATTTATAATTATTGTCATGTCCGAATAGATAGGAGGAGAAAACAATTACACACTAATTTAAAGAGACAGTATCTTTTTTAATCAGTTCTCCTAAACTTTAATAAAATGTATCTTTAAATGTATGTATTATTCAATCCTTTGGAATGTTATATTTTTGGAAATCATAGCTTTTTATTTCCAAGACCCCTAAAAACTGCACAAAATAGATGCTGCTTTCTATAATCTATTTTAATAATAAACAATGATTCTGTTACCTTGACTGGGGGTGGAACACTACATTCTTTTTAGAGTCTGATTTTATGGATTGGAATCTTTCTTTCCTTTATTTATTTGAAATAATCAGTCTAGTGATTACAAAACAGTCATAAATTTTTAAAGACCTTTTTTCTTTTTTTTTTTTTAGACTAGTATTTTTTTTTTAAGTCCTTTATGTAACATCCAGATAATGTGATACTGTCTCTTTGAAGCACCCTGTAAACCTTTTAGAGATTTGAAGTTGGGTCTTGACTCTTAATGCATGTGGACAGTCGCGAGCGTTTATGCTGTCGGTGTGTCTGTGTTGGACAAAACAATCTGTAATCTACAGCAAAGTACATTCCGTTCACGGGGCACACCCAGGGGAATAAGAATAAAATGCTATTATGACTAAGTTGTAAACCTATGCACATCCCTTGCATTTCGGGCAACTTTATAAAGAAAACTGATTTTTATTATTAATAATCATGTAGTGAAATGTGTTTGTAATTTTGTCTCAATTTAATTTGTTGTAAGGTGGGAGGGGAAGTTGCTGGTTTCACCATTTCAGATCTGTGTTGTCTGAGAGTATTAACGTTTTAATTAAGCAAAGAAATGAGGATTTTTAATATGTATGTAATTGTTTTAAAGCACCCATTTTAAGAGAATATACTGTGCAATGAAGAAACCAGTTTAGGCATTTGCTATAAACTGAATTATTCCAAAAGAAGATAACAGCCCTGTAAATTCCTTTAAAATGATAACTAACAGGACAGTTTGACCAATTTTTTTTTAAATATACTTCCTTTTATGTGTTCAATAATTCAACGCCTTTGGGTCCTTCATTTCATTATAGATTTGTTCAGGTTTACAAGCCTATCTTTTAGATTTGATAATCTGCTAGATGCTCACTGAACCACGGAAGGCCCGGAGTGACGCTCAGTCGGCAGGACAGCACCACAGTCCACCAGAGCACAGCTCGGACGGCGTCTGGCTCCCAGAGCGCAGGGCGCCCGCGGGCCGCCATGTGCAGGAGGCCAGCTGTGGTCGCTCCTTCCTCTTGCTATCTCCCTTGGCACAGGAGAATCATCTATCCTTGTTGCTTTAGAGACATTAACCATCTCATCGCCCTTCCACGAGGTCCCATTCTTCCAACCCAGGACATGCAGGCGGGGGTTTTCTGACTCTTGGCCAGAGGTCAGTAGAAGATCCTTTATTAGAGCAGCAGGGTGTGAAGTGGTTCTGGTAACCTGGGATCCTGGAGGAAACACCCTCCAGGTCGCTTCTTGTTGGGTAGATGGCCTCATTGCTTTGTGCCTCGGCAGGGTGTGCGGGGTGGGTTCTGAGCTGCACGGCTCCTCTTGAAGGACCACAAACAGAAGATAGCTGGAGACTCCCTTCCAGGCATCCCCCTCCCCACCCACCGACCCTTATTAAACGGTGATTTTTTTTTCTCTCTCTCTCTCTCTGATGTCCTTTGTCAGTGACCAGATGAGTTTGCAACTTACCAGGCGTTGAGCGAACGGCCCCTGTTGAGGCCCCACAGCAGGGAGACCAAACCACCAAGCCAGAGACACCCTGGATGGAGAAGGGAAACCCCAAGAGTTGTTTGGAGCTGTGTTAGGAGTGGTTTAAATCTAACCAACGCCAAGGCCAGGCAGTCATTCCCGCGATGGTACTGACCACAATCTGGGCTCTTCTCGCTGTGAAAGTGCCCGCTCTACCTCTCTTCCAATGAAGCACAAAGAAAACTACAGCTAACACATGGGGAACACCAACTCCCTCCCTCTGCTAGAAATGGCCACACCCCTCTCAGGCCCTTGAAGGCCACATCTCCAGAGATTCCGATGATGCCTCTCTTAAGCCCTGTTTACAGAGGCGGATCAAGCAGAAGAAGAGCAAAGCGAAGCTAGTTCCAATGTCTATGGGCCCAGGATTGAGAAGCACTTAGCGCTCGTCCCCTCTTCTCCATCAGAGGCGCACAGGCAGGCACGGCTCTTGCCCCCGTGTGGACGGCAGAACCCCTGCACCCAGAGCTCATTCTGGCAGAACCTCTCATAGAGGTCATCTGCTCCATTCCACTCACATAGGCCCTCCTCAAAAATAATGTCTTTATGACCCGCCAGAAAATACTTAAATTCACAGTAATTTCCGTACAAAGCTGCTGCTACATTACAGTCATCCACTAAGCAATCAGAGAAAACTACCAAAAAGCTTTGCTGCTTCCATGCCATCAGCAAAATCCCCGCGCCCCCCCCCATTTTAAAGACCAGAGCAAATGATGACTATTAAATCTTATCACTGGTCAACTGAACCATATTCCAGCCCCACGCCCCACAGCCAGAAAGGGGGTGTATTTAATATGCAGAATCTTTTGTTAAGAAGTGTCTTGATTCTTTTTAATAAGATGGTAGTCACTCTGCACGTGCAGCAGGTTCAATTTTAACACTAAAAAGGAACATGTCACTCAGTTCAGTTCAGCTGGAAGTTTTCCCGGTGTCAAGATAATACAGTAGCTTCTGAAAATGCAATTAAATGTATCTCCTGTCAGTTGAGATGGTTTAACATACTGGTGCAGAGAAGAAAAGAAATAGGTGACCGACTTCTTGCCATTTGCATTCAGAGCCCATCCTCCGCGTGGGCTCTGCGGCTCCTCCTCCCCACGCGGCCGGCGGCATCTCACACCGCCACGCCCCCATGAGCTAGTGGAAACCTCTGACCCCGTTACTGCAGAGGACAGTCTTTGTTGCTTTTCAAATCACTCGTAGTTACCGGTTCAGTAAGGCTTCGACTTCACTCCTTGAGAAAGTTTAGTCTGCTGAGCCACCATCGGGGAAACAGGACAGCGGAGATGGCCGGCGTGGACACAGCCCCTTAGGGACAGGCAGCCTGAAAGCAAACTCTATTGTCTCCCACCGATGTGATGTACTTTTCTTCGTTTCAGGTCAGCCTCTTGGGGCAAAGAGAACATGCTGCTAATGCTAGCAAGATGGTTTTCTCATTAATGAGTTCTTAATTATAATGCCTCCCACGCAGCCCCCCCTGGGAAAGGGAAGGCATCTCGCCATCGGCATCCCAAGACAAGCCACTTAGGGTCCCCATCCCTCCTCCTCCTTGCTTCCTATCATCAAATGCACTTGTATGTGTGTTAGGGGTGGGGGAGGAGTCTGTTTTTCCAGAACTGAACACAGCTTCCTAATTCCATCCTCTTCACAAGGGCTTAAGATACTGAGGCTAATTACAGCCTGTCACAGACTGAAGGTCCCTGAGCGCCTTTCTCTGGTTCTGCACCTCTAATTAACCCTCCTCTTCAAAAGGCATTCTGCTTCCTGATGCAGCTTGCAGAAGGGCTACGAGCTTTCTTCATGAGTCATTTCATTCGGGCGAACTCTTCCTCTTCTTACCCCTTTAGAAGTAAGGTTTTCCTCTCCATTTGATGTCTCCGCTTAAGGGACTGTGCCCCGCAGGCTTACTGCTCCATCAGCCTGGCCCACGCCCACTTATCGGTTTGCCTTAAACCTGGAGCTCTCAGAAGTCTCGGGTCTTCCGGCTTTGTGAAAGAAGCCCGGCTGTGGCCCGCATCCAGGAAGAGGAAGGAAGGGAGACGAAGGGTATGTTCACTGGTCCCCAGCCCTGTCATCTGCTCCTTTCTCTGCCGCTCTTGGGCCACGGAAGGTGGGCAGACCGGCCCACAGGGAGAGGAGCAGGAGGGGCATGCCATCTCTAGGACAGGCAGTGCCACATCTTAGCCCTTCGGAGGCAGAGAAAATACCCCGCCCCCCACACCTCTCACCTGACCCTCCATCAACTCTTGAACCTGTGCAAATGGACGGAGCAAAAGAAAATGGAAAGAGATGTTTGTCACCACGTAGGAAGGAGACCTCATTTCTGGCCCCAAGCACAACTCCAGACCCATGTCTGCTTAGAGACCCGGTGTCAGGTCCCTTCTCTCTGGCCTGCAGCCAAGGGAAGGTACGCGCACTCCCCGAAGGAGAGGCCTGAGGCTGACCAGCTTGGGGACGCAGAGGACCTGCAGTCTCTTAGGAGTTCTGCTTGGGAGCGGAAAGGGGGGCTCCTCCACAATGAGCGGCCCCACCTCTGGTTTTCATTTTGACCAGACCAAGAACTGGGGCAACGGACTTCCAGTCTCAGCTGTGTCCTGGAATGACGCCCGGGGCGGGGGGCGGGGAGGAGCCAGCGGCCAGACCCACGCGGAGGCCACACCACCCTCACATGCCGAGGCTGTGGCATCGTGTTTAATGGCAATGCAGGTGTGTCGCCCTTCAAACTCAGTTCTGGGGTTGTTTTGCCTAAAGTTTTGCCAACGTGTTCTTTTTTCTGTATGTATAATTGCCTTTTTATAAAAGGTTTTGAAGTATTGTCTCAGTGATAAAAAGAGAGCGATGTTAACAGTTGTTGTATATTTCACCATTTCCGATTGTAAGTATTTGCAGGGTACAGCAAAGCCTTAGCGCACAAGAGCCTTCGTGCAGGAGGGGTCCTTCGACACCCAGGAGGTGAGGGGATCGGACAGGTTCGGATTCTTTGTAAATGTCCTGCTTTTCTTTCTGTGTGTATCTATTTACATGCCTTAGCACACGCCCTCCCGCCCGGATCCCTCTGCCCTGTCGCGGGAACCAGAGCACTGGTGCACGGCCAGTTACAGGAGACGGACGGAACCCTCATCAGTTATCTCTTGTGTGACGGGGGAGGAAGAGAAACTCCATAGTATTCTTTGTAGAATATACATACTTGTAGGATGCTGTGTAATGGGAAACCATAGACTTGGGCTTTTGTCATTTCAAAGTTGGAGAAATGTATGAATAAAATGTATAAAACATGAAAAGGCACTTGTTTCCTCAGACTGCAGGCCACACAGCTGGGGCGGGGGGTGGGGGGACAGACCACAGGAGGGTTAGAGGGACAAGGAGTTCCTCTCCAGGGTTCAGCCTCGAGGACCTTCCCACAAATGCATGGGAGGGGGGGGTCTTGGGGGCGGGGAGCAGAGATCAACCTTGTCCCCACTCTCGGGGGAGCATGTCCATGGCTCGGGGTCTACCCTGGCAGTCACCATCTTCAGCACAGCTGGCACAGACTACGTCCTGAGAGCAGTTCAAGTTGAGTTGGTTGCACTTGGAAGCGGATTTAAAATAGCTTTGGGTTAAAAAAAAAAAAAAAGAGCGAGAAAGAGAGAGAAATCCAAGTGTGACAGCTCCCAGAAATAGAAGTCTAAATTGATCAGGGCGGTGTGGGCGCCCAGCATGGAAAGCAAGTGTCTTGTTTGATGTCTGCGTAGAGAGCCCCAGGAGGAAGCCTCCTGCCCTGGTTGGGGGAGGTGGTTTGCTTTGGTCTCTGGCTGGAGTCTGGGACACGGCCCCTCGCGTGCCTCAGTGACCTACTCTCCACCCTCCCTTTCCTGGGTTCTCCCCGCAGAGGACCCTGGTGGCTTCAGAGAGCCACCCTCGCGTGTGTCCGAACACGCACACCTCCAGAAATAGGCTGGGCTGAGTGTGTTCACGTGGCTCGTATCAGAGGAACGTAAACTAGGACCAATTGTTTGCTTTTCTTGAGAAAACCTCCCCCTACCAAAAAACTGTATAGAAGAGTTGAGATCACATTCAGACACAAGAGGTTGAGCCCTTGGCCTTTCGATTCAGGGAAATCACCGGTCATCTTTCTTCAGATGGCTCGGCTCAACATACAGAGGACCAAGAGCCAAACACTAGCACTAAGCGGATTTTCTGTGCTTTGTGGCATGGAAAACACATCGAACAGGTCAATATTTAGCTGGCAGAAATGAACAGAAACACGTACCTCCGCATTTTCTCCAGTTTACTGTAAAAAGATAAGCTGAATAACAGCGAGTATCCTCCGGCGAAGGACTGCAGTGGGGGGTGAGGGGGGCAACCAGACGAATGCCGGGTACTAGACCATGACCTCGAGTTCAAGGTCGCTGAAGACAGCGACCTTGAATAGCCTGAGGGTAGCAAGCCCCCTAAAGGACAAATGCAGTAGTGCATGTTAGCAACCCAGCCAAAGGTGAGGGGTGCTTCCGGGGAGAATGTTCCAAAAGGTGGCATCTGACTTTCTCAAGGAATGAGCACACAGGATGTGGGCCTGCCGCCGAAATCCCACGCTTAGGGCGGTGTGGGGCTCCCACACCCACTGCGCGCACCTGCTCACCACAGCCCACCTTCACCTTTTAGGGAGGGGCACCCAGAAACTGTCCGGCCACAGATGCATCCTTAGGTGTGATCACTAAGAGCTTCCAGCTCCTGCCGTTTGCCCTCTTCCCGTTTTGGGGGCGGCTTTATCCAGCACTCCCCACCTCCCCATGGCCAGATGCCCTGCAGAGAAGCTGGATCCGTCCTGCCAGCAGAGCGGGCAATGAATTACTTGAGAGGAGACAGCCCGCAGGGGCTTCCCCGGTGGCTCTAGGCCCTGGCCCTCGAGATGGGAAACTAAGGCCAGAGAGCGGGAAATGGAGATCGTGCACACAGCTAGTGGTAAATGCTCAGCCACACAAATCAACAGCTTACCACAGAACTTCCCCCTAGAACTTTCTGGGTGATGGAAATGTTCAAGTTCTTCTTTGGGGTGGTGGTTATGTGCGTATATACGGTCGTTAAAACACACTGAACTGAGCACCTACGACCTGGGCCCTTTGCTGTACATGAGCCATACCTCAGTTACAAGAAGAAAAGTGGAAAAGCGGATGGTCATTTCACAGCTGCCAGAAAGGCACCTGACGAAATTCCACACCCGGTTCTACTTTAAAAACAAAAACTCTTAAAAATCAGACAGAAAGGGGCACCTGGGTGGGTTAAAGCCTCTGCCTCCAGCTCAGGTCATGATCCCAGGGTCCTGGGATAAGCCCCGCGTCGGGATCTCTGCTCAGCGGGGAGCCTGCTTCTCTCTCTCTCTGCCTGCCTCTCTGCCTACTTGTGATCGCTGTCTGTCAAATAAATAAATAAAAAAGAAAAAGAAAAAAAAGTCTTAAAAAAGATCAGACAGAAAATATCCTTAGCAGATAAAGACTAGCTACTCTAACCCACAAGCAACATAGTCCACCTACAAGTGACACAATAAAGGCATTAAAAGTGCCATGATCTTTCACATTTCCTAAACAACACACGCTCCTCCAAGAGTGAGTAGAAAATGCAGGTAAACTAGCGGCAGATGTTCAAGCAGATCCTGCCCCTCAGAGACCCTTCGGGGCAGCCCCGTCACACGGCCACACACACACGTACTCGTGTCTGCGCGAGTCCTACCCAGCACGCCGCTCCCCAACTCGTGTCCCAGATCCTCCTCCCTCCGTGACAGTTTAAGACTGCTTCCAAAGCACTGCTCAGAAGCAGAATAAAGAAATATAAACAGAAAGAGGAGACAAAAGTGTCCGTATTTGCTAATAATATCGTTGTAGATCTTGAAGTGCCAAAGAGGACAGCTGGACATCATTCAAGTTCATAAAGAACAGATACAGAAACACAGAACTCAGTACTCTTATGCAGTAGTGATAAAGTCAGAAAACACTAATGGGAGAGACGCCTAGGGTGGCTCAGTCGGTTAAGCATCCCACTCTTGATTTCAGCTCAGGTCATGATCTCAGGGTCGTGAGGGTCGTCAGGCTCCCCACTCAGGCTGGGGTGGGGGGGGTCTGTTTGAGATTCTCTCTCTCCTTCTGTCCCTCCCCTCCCTCACTCCCACTCTCTTTAAAAAAAAAAAAAAAAAAAGACCACACTGAGAATGTGAAAGACTTGAGTAAAGAAATATTCTTGGAAGGAAGAAATAAATATTTCAATGGCATCAGGTTTTTCCAAATTAATGTATAGGTTTAATATAACACCAAATCAAAATCCAATCATTTTCTGACCTTTACAAAACAATTATTCATAAAGAATAACACCAACTTTTTATTGTCATTTTAATTAAAGGAAATACTAAGGAAACAAGAGTAAATGAAGGGTGAGTAGCCCTTCCAGATTTTAATCTATTCTAACGCTAAGACAACTAAGACATCACACACCAAAATGAGTTTCAAAGAGTTCAATATAAAATAGTAATGACAGGAAACGAAAACACAGAAGTAATCAGTAAAACTTTAGAAGAGAGTAGCCTTTTAAGTTTATACAAGAGAAAGAAGTCACTGAGCAACTGGAACGTTGCATTAAAAAACATACATTTTTATATGAAAAAGTTGTAGACCATGAACTCAGAAAGACATTTTGTAATCAATAGGACATACAAAGAGTTTATTATATAATGAACTTACAAAAACTGGTTCACAATACTAACATCCCAGTATATAATAATGGGCATGAACAGATAATTCAAGGTAAAACTACTATTAAAAAACAAACGTTGGGGGGCCTGGGTGACTGACTCTTGGTTTCAGCTCAGGTCGTGATCTCAGGGTTGTGGGATTGAGCCCTGAGTCGGGCTCCCCGATCAGCAAGGAGCCTGCTTGAGATTCTCTCTCCCTCCCTCTCTGTCCCTCCTGCCTGTGTGCCCACTCGCTCAGGCTCACTCTCTTTCCCCAAAATAAAATCTTTCTTATAAAATTTTTTAAAGATTTTATACATTAGAGAGAGACTGTGCATGAGAGGTGGGGAGGGGAAGAGTAGGGGCAGAAGGAGAGGGAGAAGCTCGGTCCCAGGACCCCGGGATCATGACCTGAGCCAAAAGCAGACACTTAACCAACTGAGCCACCCAGGTGCTCCTAAAATAAATCAAATCTTTAATTTAAAAAAACCTGAAAAATATCTCAATGATCAAGGGACTACAAGTCAAAAAACTAACTTTTGAGATGTTAAGTGAGTGCTTAACTACTTAGGAAAAATAAAAGACTCTGAAGATGTTATATTTAGTTATTATTAGCAGATTTTTAAAAATATAATACTCAAAGCTAGCGTGTGTGTTGATGAAACTAGCATTTTCAGCCATAGCTCACAGCACTGCAAATAATATAGTGACATTTACCAGAGCCATATAAATTAAAGTTGATATTTTTCATACTATTACATTTCTCTGTACCAGTTTTCATAAAAGAATCTAATTAAGGCAAATCGGTGACATTTACTGAGTACTCTACTGTTCCAAGCACTAAGTGTTTGGAATGCCTTTATTGTACCCCTCCCTCTTCAAGCATCTGAGAGCTCTTCATCATAAAGAAATAGCCCCAAATTCAAACACTGGTGGGATGATGAAGGGAGGACAATAAATGAATTTTTCTTTATTTTGCAATTTTACTTGATACATAATTTTTTTTTAATTTTTTTTTAGATTTTTTTTTTAATTTATTTTTTTTATTTGACAGAGATCACAAGTAGGCAGAGAGGCAGGCAGAGAGAAAGGAGGAAGCAGGCTCCCTGCTGAGCAGAGAGCCCTATGCGGGGCTCAATCCCAGGACCCTGGGATCATGACCTGAGCCGAAGGCAGAGGCCTTAACCCACTGAGCCACCCAGGCACCCCAATACATAATTTTTTTTAACGTATCTCAAACTCATTCCCTTGCTCCCTTCGCTCTAGTGATGGTTGGGGCAACATGGCAGGACAATTCCATGGCTCGGTCTCCATGTCTATACTCTGTGCTCCCCTCCTGTGCCACACCCCAATCCCAGCACGGAGTTCCTCCATGGATAAAATACGGAGAAGCACGCCCATCGGACATGCTGCTTGCAACATGAAACTAGGAGAGCACACAACAGCTGGAAACCTCCTTGGCCACCGCCTTCCTCCCTGGGAGCCCACCACGTGACCGACCCTTCCTGAACCTCACAACACTTACGCCTACGACATACTCTCCTGATGGTACACCACCATTTTAGTAGAACACAGATC